AGGTCTGGGGGGCCATCTGCAGTGCCTGAGAGGGAACTGGGGGTCTCTCAGAAACTCTGAAGTGTGCCCGCATTTCAGAAGTGTCCCAGAGATTGCACTTGGCTCGTACCTGAGATGACCATGTTTAGAAAAAGAGCTCCGGGGCTAGCGCGATAGCACAGCGGGTAGGGCGTTTGCCTTGCACGCGGCTGACCCGGGTTCAATTCCCAGCACCCCATATGGCCCCCTGAGTGCATGAGCCAGGAGTAACCCCTGTGTATTGCCAGGTGTGACCCAAAAAGCAAAAAGAAAAAGAAAATGAGCTCTGGGTCCTGCAGGGCTGAGATGGTGCTGGAAGCAGCTGGCTTCACCGCAGTTACCACAGCTTGCAGCTGGCATCGGTCCAACCAGGGGCTTCCAACTTAGCTTCCATCCGTTGAGAACCAGGTTTCAAGGTCCAGAACTTTCGTTTTCCTGTAGCACTGTAGCACTGTCCTCCCGTTGTTCATCGATTTGCTCGAGCGGGCACCAGTAACGTCTCACAACAAATTGTGAGACTTGTTGTTACTGGTTTTGGCATATCGAATACGTCACGGGGAGCTTGCCAGGCTTTGCTGTGCAGGCGAGATACTCTCGGTAGTTTGCCGGGCTCTCCGAGAGGGGAGGAGGAATCGAACCCGGGTCGACTGCGTGCAGGGCAAACACCCTACTCACTGTGCTATCGCTCCTAAGATGAAAGAACTCAGATCTGCCCTGTATCTTCTTGAGAAACGGCCAGAACCGATTGGAAGGAACTTTGGGCTTCAGCTGAGTCACGGCGTCTGTCCTGGGCGTCTGACCGTTTCCCCCCTCTGGCAGCTGTTGCTGGTTTGCCAAGTAAGATTATGTGTACCTTCAGGAAAAAAGGCATGTGGCCAGGAAATTTTGTGTTTGGATTTTATTTTAAATTTTAAATAAGAACGCAGCAAGTGAAACTAATCATTTGTACCTGCAAATTCGGTCTATCATCATTTCCATATGAAAGATGTTTAGATACAGTCATTTCACGAACCTTTCAAATGCCAGATGTATAAGCACCATATTTAATGTAATTTAATCTTTGGGTTTTGTTCTGAGGCCACACCTGACGCTGCTTAGGACTTGTGTAATCCTGTCTCTGTGCTCAAGGATCCCTCCTGGCAGTGCTCAGGAAACCATGTGGGGCGCTGGGAATTGAACCAGGATCAACGGAAACCTTAGCCCTTGTACTCTCTCTCTGGCCTGTCCCCTCTTTTATTTAAATCTTTGTGATAAATCATACTCATGAATTCATTTAGCAAGTCTCTCATGAAATCTCCGACTACGTGCCGGACATTGAGGAACACACCAGTTAAAAAGCACGCAGAAGCTCCCACCGTCGTAGCACTTAGATTCTAATGGAAACAGAGTAAATTCAGCAAATGTGCAAAATCTAGTAAAATAGATAGTGGCAAACGCTGTTGAGAAAACTGCTTGAGGAAAGAGGGTTAGAGAGTTTGGGAGGAGTAGGAATTTCAAATAGAATTAACAGGGACATTCTATTGAGATGATGTGCTTGGGCAAATATCCCTGAAGGAGACAAGGGAACAAGGTAGGAGGCTATCTGGGAAAAACACCAGCAAAGGAAATATGTGCAAAGGTCCTGAGGCAGTGATGTGCTTGGGTATTTTCTAAGAAAAGTGAGGGAGCCAGTATAGACGGTTAAAATTAGTTTGTGGCTTTCACCCCCTGAAATAGGGGGGATTTTAAGTAGCAGAGTAACTTTGCTATTATAATAACATAACGTCACAGCGGTGTTAGGCTTGATTACAGCCATGGCTTGTGAGACAGGGGCCTTAGCCCTGTGCTGTTGCTCTGGCCCCAAATTTCTAATAACCTACCTTCTACATGAAGGACTTCTTTAACATTTATTGTAGCGTAGGTTTACTGGTAATGAACTCATTCCTGGTAGTGAATTACTTTAGCTTGTTTTTTTTTTTTGCTTTTTGCTTTTTTTGGGTCACACCTGGCGATGCTCAGGGGTTATTCCTGGCTCATGCACTCAGGAATCACTCCTGGCGGTGCTCGGGGGGACCATATGGGATGCTGGGAATCGAACCTGGGTCGGCCATGTTGTCTGCGTGCAAGGCAAACGCCCTCCCCGCTGTGCTGTCGCTCCAGCCCCTACTTTAGCATTTTTGAGATCTAGAAAATTTTTAGCTACTTTTTTGAAATATAGGTTTGCTTGGTATTAAATACCAAGTACAATATAAGCTTTTTTTCCCTTTTTGGGTCATACCCAGCAATGCAGAGGGGTTACTCCTGGCTCGTGCACTCAGAAATTACTCCTGGTAGTGCTTGGGAGACCATATGGGAATCAAACCCAGGTCGGGCGCATGCAAGGCAAACGCCCTACCTGCTGTGCTGTCGCTCCAGCCCCGGGGCCTCTAAATTGCATTTCAATCTGCTTAATGTTACTGGAAAACTCACAGTGGCTTTTTCTATTACATTTTTTTTTCTGGGTCCAGAAGGGTTAAGGTACTGACCTGGCCCCTGTCCAGTCCCAGATACCACATATGGTACTGCAAGCACAGCCTGGAATATTGACCCTTTGTACCAAGCCAGTCTCAGTTATGCTGGGTGCTGGGGAAAAAAAAAGTGTTCAGAGGATGGAATTGACTGGCTGGTGGCACATGGGAAGTTTTTAGAGAGAGAGAGTCACTCTGTCTCTTGTTTTAGACGTTAATCTGCGTGTGTACAGTTATCACAGCTTGGTAAAATGTGTAAGATCTGTATGTTTCACCGTCACTGTCACTGTCACTGTCCTCCCGTTGTTCATCAGTTTGCTCGAGCGGGCCTAGTAACGTCTCCATTGTGACAATTGTTACTGTGTTTGGCATATCCAATACATCACGGGGAGCTTGCCAGGCTCTGCCGTGCGGACGAGATCCTCTCGGTAGCTTGCCGGGCTCTCCGAGAGGGGCGGAGGAATCGAACTCGGGTCGGCCATGTGGGCAGCATGCAAGGCAAACGCCCTCCCCGCTCTGCTATCGCTCCAGCCCCTATGTTTTATTAAGTATAAATTACATTTTTTGACAAGGAGTTACAACTGTCAAATGGTCTAAGAGAGGTTGCAGAAGATTCTCAAGGAGGTCTATGAAATTGGTTTTGTTGCTGTTTTGAGGTGGAAGAAATATCAGTATACTTTAATTATGATAAGAATGAACTGTGGAAAATAGGAATTCCTTGCTCTGAGAAGAGGGGAGGGTCGTGCAGGTATAGACGTCGTGAGTGGGCAGTTATGGGAACTGATTCTGATAGAGAGGCCTTCCTTCTGTGATTAGATTGGAAAGTAGCATTTGTAAACACAGATTTAGGTGAGCTTGTTGAATTTTGGCCGAGTTTTTTTCACCAACACTTCGGGGGCTAGAGAGAGAGTGCTGGAAGTGAAGGACATTGTATGTGGCTGTCTCTGGTTCAGTCCCCAGCGCCATGTGTGGGGCCCCAGAAGAGCCCGAGTACCGCTGAATAGAGCCCACAAACCCTGTCCCCTCAAAAAAGGCCAGAGGAAAGAAAACGGAAAACACTTCAGATAGTCACAGGTAGTGGAAAACTCACTTTAGATAATGAGGCCAGGCCTGCTCTGAAATTTATGGTAAAATGAGAATAGTATTTAATGCTTGATTAAACATTTAAAAGTGAATTTGATAAAGGTAAGAACACTAATTTTTATGACTTAATAATGGGGTGGGGTAGGGCAATAGTACAAAAAGCGGGCAAGGTGTTTGCCTTGCACGCAGCCAACACATGTTTGATCACTGGCATCCCCTACGGTCCCCAACCACCACCGGGAGTGATGGCCGAGTGTAGAACCAGGAGTAACTCCTGAGCACTGCAGGTGTGACCCCAAAACAAAATAAAAAAATATGTGGTTTTATTTGTGAATCAAATTGGTAATGATCACTTCTTTTTTTTTTTTTTTTTGAAGTGTGCGAGAGGACTGGGTTTGGGCCACACCCAGCTGTGCTGGGGAAGGGGTTGGTGGGGGGTGCTATTTCTGGCTCTGCTTGGGAGTCATCCCAGGCAGTGTCTGGGGGACCATTGCGTAGTGCCAGCAGCAGAAAACAGGGTCGGCAACATGCACGGTAAGCACTTTTCCTCTCTGCTACCTACCTCTCCTGCCCATATACCGGTCACTTTCCGTTAGATGCTTTTAAGACGCAGTCGTTAATCTCCTTGTTTATTTGGGAAGCAAAACATTGGAACGTGCAGTGGCCGTGACAACGGAGACAAAAGTCAAGACAGTTACAAAAGTTATTCTCGGGAGAACAAGGGGGAAGGCCCTGCCACAGAGGCAGGGTGGGATGGGGGGATCGGGGGTGGAAGGGATACTGGGATCCGTGGTGGTGGGAAATGGGCTCTGGTGGAGGGATGGGCACTTGATCATTGTATAATCGAAACCCAAGCACAAAACTGTGTAAGTCTGCAACTGTACCTCATGGTGTCTCACTAATAAAAAATTAAAAAAAAAAATTAAAGCAATATTATCTCGTAAAAAAAAAAGTTATTCTCGGGGGGAACACAATGAATTCTGAAGTCTAATTTCTGCAGACAGGAATTTCTGAACTGATTCGACTTAAAGATGTGTCTTTCAGGGCCCAAGGTGGCTCCAGCCCCATGCTTTGTGTGTGGAAGACCCTGGTTCGACCTCTAGCACTATTCAATGTGGCCCACAAAACACCAACAAAAATCAAGCGGGGGGGGGCTGGAGCGATAGCACAGCGGGTAGGGCGTTTGCCTTGCATGCGGTCGACCTGGGTTCGATTCCCAGCTTCCCATATGGTTCCCTGAGCACCGCCAGGAGTAACCCCTGCGCATCGCCGGGTGTGACCCAAAAAAAGCAAAAAAAACAAAAATCAAGCGGGGCACTCTTCAGCCCACGGGATGGGTTCTTCTGGAGCCGTCACGTTCTTTACACTCCGATTGTGGCTCTGTTGTAACCGGCTTCTGTGTTTTTATTGTAGTTGCCGGACAAGCAACCGCAAGAGCCTAATTGTGACCTCTAGCACGTCACCTACCCTACCACGGCCGCACTCACCACTCCATGGCCACACAGGTGAGTCCCTGAAGACCCAAGAACGAAGAGGGAAGAGGAGACCGGTGACAGTTACCTAACTCATGTTCTTCTGTGTGCTGTCCGCCACTGCTCTGCCACTTGACTTGCCTCACTGAAGCGTATCACGATTTTGCCTTCACTAGAAGGACGGATTTGGTCTGCTTTGGGTGCTTGTTTCTTTCCCTTGCCCCAACTTTCTTTTTGATGGTGAATATATTTTGGGGCGAGATACGTATATTGGGTTCATGGCTCTCATACAGCTGTATCGCGAGTGTGTTGCTGCCCTAGTGATGTTGGTTAATGGGCCGTGGACCCCATGAATATTTTTGCTACCACATCCAAGGTCAGGGCAGAATTTGAGTTAGCCATATATTTTGGTCTCTTGGACATACTTTCTGTTTTTTTTTTCCCCATTGGGGCAGTCACTCAGGGGTTACTCCTGGCTCTCCACTCAAGAATCACTCCTGGAGAGCTCCAGTGACCACATGGGGTTCTGGGGATCAAACCTGGGTGAACCACGTGCAAGGCAAGCTCCGGACCTGCTATACTGTCTCTTCAGCCCCTATTTATACTTTCTTGCAATCCAGGGAGCCAGGCAGGGAGACTTACTTTGCTGAAAGGACTGCTACCCGATACACTTTTCCTTACAACTCCGTTTGATTCGTAATGGAAGTTCCAGCCCAGCTCATAGAAATGGAGCTGACTTGGAAATCTGTGATGCCAAGACCGCTCGGAGCTTGCCGCCTGGGCTTGATATGCCAGGGGCTTGCCTGACTTATAATTAGGTACAACTGAAGTATCAAAGCATTGAAGTAGGTAACTGGGTTCAGCACCAGACCTGATAAGAGTAGTCCACTTGGATTTGTCTTGCTCAGATTTTACTGTTCTTGGAGGGAGAAAGTGAGGCACGTTGTGTATTGATTGAGGGTCCAGAGAACCTGGTCATTCTGAAACGGATGCCTGTCCTTGGGAAAAGGAACTCGCTTGACTGGGTTTGTAGCCTAGAGCCCAGCTCTTCTGTCTGCTCGGGGCCCTTTCTCGGGGCCAGTAAGTCAGACACCAACTGTCACCACACTAGGCCATCAAGAGCACAATGGCGCCCAGAAAACTTGGAGATGTACTTGGCCTATGTACTTGGCCTTGAAAGCACACTTTCTTGTGTTTAGCTATTTCCCCCCATAAAATTGACTGAGTTTCCTTTGGCTCATATATATAGTACATTTTGTCCTGGAATTTTGTCAAAAAACAGCATATACCTGACCTTTTGGACTTACGAAAATAAATGGAACATGTCTAGACTTCGTACATAATTTCACAACTGTAATATGAGTATGAGAACAGTAATTACTGCTGTGGCCGCCCCTCTCTCGAGATAATTATCTCTCTATTTAGATTCCTGGCTGTTAGATTTTAAGACTAAATCTTCCCTACTCAAGTGACTGATTGAGAACATTATCTGGCCTCTTCAGCCTGCCTGGATTTGTAGATTCTGGCTTTGAGTCAATGTATGTAACATGCTTAATTCTCCGTAACTGTTGGCTGTCAGCATCATTTCTTCCAAATCACTCCAGAACTTCTAGAATGCCCACGAGACGACAGAATTTACTTCAAAACCCACTTCATACCTATAGACTCTGTGTCTGTATAAAAAAAAAAATACTGAAAAAAACAACACTGATTGTTCCATGTAGATCAAATTTAACATCAGATGATATTCTCAAATCTTAGACATCCGAAGTTTGTGTTCACAGAATATTCTAAGAACCTTTAACTTAATTTGGTTTTGTTTCTGTTTTGTTTTTTCTTTTTTGGGGGGGGTGCAAATCCAGCAGTGCTTAAGGGCTATTCCTGGCTTTACACTCAAGAATTACTCCTGGTGGTGTTCGAGCAACCACATGGGATGCTGGTGATTGAACTTGCCACGTGGAAGGCAAATGCACTACCCACTGTGCTCTCACAACTCCATTGCTGGGGGGTTTTAATGGAGTAGAATTGAATCCATACCTCAAGTTGGAAGGAACTAGGATTTGAAAGTTTGAGTCATTGTGTCCTTAAACATTGAATCTTTTCACTTTGCTGCCTTGGTCCTAGTGGGAAAGCTTTGTGTCTGTCACCATTGAGTATGATGTCAACTGTAGGCTTTTATAGATTTTTTTTTATGTTGACAAACTTCTCTTGTTCTTAATTTGCTGAGACGTTTTGTTGTTATTGTTTTAATCATGAATGGGTTTGGATTTTGTTTAAAAAAAAAATTGGGCACTGCGGGACCTGGAGCAATAGCACAGTGGGTAGGGCGTTTGCCTTGCACTTGGCAGTTCGATTCCCAGCATCCCATATGGTCCTCTGAGCACCGCCAGGGGTAATTCCTGAGCGCAGAGCCAGGAGGAACCCCTGTTTATCGCCAGGTGTGACTCAGAAAGCAAAAAAAAAACAAAAATTGGGGGGCACTGTACCTGGAACGATAGCACAACGGTAGGGCGTTCGCCTTGCACGTGGCCAACTTGGCCAACCGGAGTTCGATTCCTCCGCCCCTCTTGGAGAGCCCGGCAAGCTACCAAGAGTATCTTGCTCGCACAGCAAAGCCTGGCAAGCTCCCCGTTGACGTATTCGATATGCCAAACACAGTAACAAGTCTCACAACGGAGACGTTACTGGGCCCGCTCGAGCAAATCGATGAACAAGGGAGGACAGTGGACAGTGCCTGGAGCTATAGCACAGCAGGTAGGACGTTTGCCTTGCATGCAGCCGACCGGGGTTCGATTCCCAACATCTCATATGGTCCCCCACACACCGCCAGGGGTCATTCCTGAGTGCATGAGCCAGTAGTAACCCCTGTGCATCGCCAGGTGTGACCCAAAAAGGAAAAAAAAAATTGGGGGGGCACCTGTTGATGTGATCATTTGAATTTGCTTGCGTGGCAAAAAATATGAAAAAGTACATATGAAGGAGTGCATTGATTTTTCAACGGTGACCAGTCTTTTGTATACCAGGGATAAATTTCTATTTGGTCATACTGTATAACTAACGTGTTGTTGGATTTGACTTGATAACATTTTGTTGAGGAATTTCATTGGTTTGGTTGGAGGGGTCCTTCCCAGTGGTGCTGAAGGCCACCAGGATACCCAGTGGTGCGCAGGAGGCTGGGTAGTGCTAGGGATCAAATCCAGGCCCCTGTGTGCGCCAGTTATGCACTCAGTCCATTCCTCTAGTCCCTGGCCACATACTGAGAATCTGGTAGGGCATGGAGGTGTTGGTTACACTTGCAGTGCTCAATGGCTGTTCCTGGCTCTTTGCTCAAAAGTGACCCCTCGTGGTGGTCAGGGGACCACATGTGACACTGGGGATTGAACCAGAGTTGGCCACATGCAAGGCAAGCCCCTTCACCTCTGGGAGAAGGCTTTTTTTTTAAAAAAAAAAAAGGCTACCACCATTCTTTGTATTGAGTCTAAGTGTTGCAAACTCAAATATGCTAGTCAGTGAGGCAATATAATATATTTTATAAAATAATTGTTTCTCTTAACTATTTGTATCAAACCCAGCTACAATTTAAACTGCACATTAAAAATATACTCATTTCAAATATAAAAATTAGTATCCCCTTACTATGGTAAACTCAAAACCTATCTTAAAATATATTTAGGGGTAGAATTGGGTGACACCCCCATCAAAAGAAGTGTGAGCTGCTAGTTAGCATATTATAGGAACATGTGAAAACGAATAAAGAGATGAAGGTAATTCCTACACTTGGAGTGGGTTGGGCATCTTTGTGGATTTGAGGGTCTTGGGTTTGTACTTCTGCGTGTGGCAGGGAGACTCCAAGCGGCAGTGGAGGCCCAGAGGCCACTCGGAGCAATCAGTGGCTAACAGAGGCCCTGGTGGTTCTGCAGGAGGCGGGGATTGGGGTGGGAGTCAGGGAGCAGGTAGTTAGGCATCAGGCCAGGGTTGGGTCCATCAAGGCATGTATTTGGCACAGACCCCTGTCCTATCTCCCCCGCTCCTGTGTAAGGACTATTTTAAGGACAGCTGCTACTCTCGGTCCCCACCCATGCGCTAACATTTCCTTTAGTCACATGTATTTGTGGATTGCCCCTTGGGTGGCATGTGCAGACAGACACACATTTGAGACCTTACAACCAGGCGTACTGTCCATCGGGAAATGTTTGAGCATTTGCAGCGCCATCTGCACAAAAGGAACTCTTCGGGCCTGTCTGAAGGTGGGTGAACTCGACTAGGCAGATCAGAGCCTGGAGTTGTCTGGGAAGGCAGCGAGTTGGGAGTGGCTGACTCCGGAACGCGTGTTGTTAGAGGCAGCTTGGAATCCACTCTGGCCAATGGTTTTCAGCTAGCAGGACCAGCGCCAGGTAGCAGGTGTAAACCACTGCCTGCTGAACTTTCGAGAAGAGACACTGACTCATTAAACCGATGAAAAAGCAAAAAAGATAACCATTGTGCCAGTGGCCGAAGAGTGGGAAGAATTTCTCCCTCGCGGTCTCCACCCTCTGTGAAGCAAGCCTCACGGGGTGGCTCTTTTCCTTCCCTCCCACAGGTAACAGTCCTTTGGACAGCCCCCGGAATTTCTCTCCAAATGCACCTGCTCACTTTTCCTTTGTTCCTGCCCGTAGGTAAGTCGATCGAAATCTTGCTCGATGACAGATACACGTGGCACTTGCATGAATGCCAGTAAAATACCGGCTTCCCCCTGTTGGAGGCGCTGCTCTTCTGTTGTGTTACCTTGGGCCCTGGCATCCAAATTCCTTCCTGCTTCCCTGGCCCGCATCACGATTACCTTCAGCTGTTTATTTTCTAAACACCCCAGGGATTTGCATGTGAATGTTTGAGTGGTATGCATAGAGGTACTACAAGTAGATTTATTTTTATTTTAGGTAAAAATCCCTGATTTCTTATTTCTTTAATTTTAATTTGTTGAGGCCACATGTCTGGCCACACTGCCAGGTGTCACACCACCACCACTGCCAAAGCGCGCGGGCACACACACACACACACACACACAGGCATGCACACACGCTTACTCGAGTTCATTTCTCAGGGTTCACTCCTGGCAGTGCTGTCGGGACCCTCTACTGCGCTGGGCATTGAACCTGGGTCTGCTGCTTGCCAGACTGCTCCTTATCACTGTGCTATCCTCCGGCCTCTTTGTGTTCTCTAATATATCTTACATTTTAGTTTCTTTTTTCTTCATTAGAGTGAGTCTCTGACATTCAGAAAAACCGTAGCTCCGGATTTAGAACTTTTAAAGAGAATGTCTTGAGGGTTTTTATTATTATTTTATTATTACATCTTATTATCTCATTCCTACTTTGGACAAACTGGCAGGCTACCGAATGTAGCCTGCCCACACGGCAGAGTCTGGCAAACTCCCCGTGGCGTACCCAATATGCCAAATACCAATAACAATGGTGGGTCTCATTCTCCTAAAGAGCCTTGAATATAATCTCAGGGCTAGGATGAAGGAGACGTTACTGGGACCTGCTCGAGGCAATCGACGAATGACAGGATGATTTGTGATTAGTGATTTGTCTTGAGGGTATAGTGAACGGGAGGCGGGTGGGGGACGTGAGCTAGAGTTGGTAGCACCACAGGGAAGGCACTTGCCTTGCATGCGACTGACCCGGGCTTGATCCGGGCACCCCATATGTTCCTGCAGTCTCCTCCAGGAGTGATTCCTGAGCACAGAGCCAGGAGTAAGTCCTGAACACTGCCGGGTGTAGCCTCCCCCCCCCCCCCCCCACACACACACTGTAGCACTGTCCTCCCGTTATCCATCGATTTGCTCAAGCAGGCCCAGTAGTGTCTCCGTTGTGAGACTTGTTGTTACTGTGTCTGGCATATCGAATACGTCACAGGGAGCTTGCCAGGCTTTGCCATGTGGGCGAGATACTCTCGGTAGCTTGCCGGGCTCTCCAAGAGGGGCAGAGGAATCGAACTCAGGTTGGCCGGGTCGGCCTTGTGCAAGGCAAACACCCTACCACTGTGCTGCCCCCCCCTGCACCTCCCCCCCCCAAAAAAAGAGTACACCAGAAACAGCATTAACTCTGTGTTGAATGACAAATTAAAGACGTTTACCTCATCCTTTTCCAGAATTCTGTGTAGCTGAAGTGAGAGACAGACTGGACAAAGTCTGATGGTAGCCTTTGGATGACTCATCCTGAGTCCAAACAAACATCACAGATGCCTCTTACGTATACATGACTCTAATTACTTAACCAGGCAGTGATACTTAGGTATAGAAACATGCTGGAGTGGCGCCGGAGACATTGCTCAAAGGGTCGAGCGCATCCTTTGCACAAGGACGGCCTAGGTTCCATCCCAGGTACCATGTGTTCCCTGAGCACTATCTGGGTGTGACCCAAAAAGGGAGGTAGGAAGAGAGATGTATTTGAGTGATTTAAATAATTCTTGTCTTTCATTTTCCCGTTTTTAAGAACTCCTCAGAGAAGCCTTCTTAACTCATCAGATCAAAAAGAGTCTCTCAATCTCCAGCAAATCGTTGCGTTTTGTTTTCACACTATTTTTTCTTGGTTGGTGGGCCTTCCCAGCAGTGCTGGTCACTGCCAGGAGTACACCCAGCAATACTCAAGAGACCACGTGGTACCAGGGATCGAACCTTCTGGCCCCAGTGCTTGCCAAGCAGGTGCTCAAATCCTTTGAGCTGTTTCCCGGAGCTTGTCTCTTCCTCCCTTTCCCCTTCCCTCCTTCTCTTCCCCTGACTCATTCCTGGCTCTGTGCTCAGGGATCACTCCTGATAGGGCTCAGGTCAAACTCTGGCCAACTGCATGCAAGGCAAGCTGGTCTCTCCAAACCCAAGTCCTCTCAAATAGAACCACAAGATTGCTCATTGAACAGCTTTAAAATCCTGAAATCTGTGTCTCCATCCGTGCTTGTTGATTCACCGAGAGGTGAGGAATATTTAGCAACTGTGATAATCAGCACGAAGTGGACGAGCACAGTGTCCCATGAGAGAACAGGAAGGGAATGGAGAGCGCATCGTGGGTGGTCCTGTAAAGCCTCTGAATCCTCGACTTTTCAGCTCAAAGCTGAGGGAGAGGCCTGCTCTGTGGGGAGTGAGGATGGAGGAGCGCAGACCACTCCAGGCACGAGGAATGCCGTCTTCCACTGTGTCCCTGGGTCTCCTCGTTCCCACTTGTAGGGCCGGCTGGGGGGCTTCAGGATCTGGCTTTAGGCCTGAGGTCCATATAGCTGCCCTGGGCTGCCCGTTCGGGACGGAGCTGGGAAAGCTGCTGGACATTGCTAGATACCAGTGGAGCTCTTCAGCTCTGCTCCAAGGATTCTCCAGAATTCTGTTTTCTAGGTTACTTAGGTCAAGCTTGAGCCTTCTCAGATCACTGTAGTTTTTGGAATATCTCACAGAAACCAGAGTTAATGAAACACTAAGGATAGGCCTCATCAAGTCGTGCCCATTTATTTCCGACTACACATTCCTGAACAGTTCAGTGCTCCGGTCCTCTGGTCCTTGATTCTCACTGTCTCTGTGTGTACAGCCCGCAGCTGACAGTGCTCGTGGCCTTCTCTTGGTCCTGCGTTCTGGAATCAGTCCTCACGGGGCTTGGAGGGACCCTCTGTGGTGTTGGGGGTCAAATCCAGGTTGGATGCTTGCAGGACAGATGCCTTCCCTGTGCTGTCCTCTTTTCTTCAGCCCAAAACGATATCTCAGTCTTTTTTTAATTACTTCTTTGTTTTGGGGCCGTATCCAGCGGTGCTCAGGGCTTACTGCTGGCTCTGCGGACTCTGTGCCCAGGCCCAGAGGCTTGAACCCGGGCCGGGCATGTGCAAGGCTGGTGCCTCAGCTGCTGAATTATCTCTGGCCCGATTCTCACTCTCATGTTCATCTTTTCACTGCAGCCATGGCCACAGAGCAGACAGGTAACAGTGGACGTTCTGGGGAGAGGGAGGGAAGCCGCTGTGCATGGCCTGACAGGAGGGTCTGTGACTGTTTCCCCCCTCCTGGTGGGAGCTTTTGTAATGAGCCTTTCCCGCTGTTACTACGAACATTGCCTTTTCCTGGCTAGCAAAGAGGCCTTGAGGGGCCTCCCTTCGTCTGCTGGAACCACGTCCCTGGAGGCTGGAGTTGCTGCACAGTGCCAAGTTCCTGAGTGTCGGGACGAGTCACCGTCATCCCCACAACTTGCCTCTGTCCCTAGTGAGAGTACCAGTCAGAGGAGCGCAGACCACTCATGGTGGCATTTCCTTAATGCTCGTGTGGTCCCTGATCTTCCATTTACAGAAAAAGGGCTGCCGTGCCCAGGAGGGGGTGGGGAGGAAGTCACCAGTGAAAATCTGTTTGACGAATTTTAGCGCGTCCATTCCTTAGCTCGACTGCCCCGTCTTAGCTGAGCTGCTTTCCTGGAACTGACTCGCTTAGGCAAGCCTCAGGACCCAACAAAGAGAACGTATTTGAGCTGCCTTCTGGCGATTCTTCCCCTCAGAGACTAGGTTCCAGCAGAGCTGTGCCCTGCCTGTGCTGGCTGCCCGGGTGGCATGGTTTGAGTTAAGTGCATGTTGCATGGGACCCTGGTTTATCCCCTTATCAAGCAGTACTGCAAAAAAGCTACTGGGCAGTGGTGGGAGTAGGGTTCTTCGAAGGAGAAGCGGCTCTTTTTTCTCTTCACCTCTCCGTCCCCCTGCATCCCCGTGAAATTCTGAAACCTGGAATAAACACCAAATGTCTATAGATTCTTGGAAGAGCAAAGGTCTTGAAGTTCTAAAGTTTCCCCCACTGCCAATGATTTATGGATCTGTGTGCAACAGTGAAGAAGTTTTCCTCCAACTTCAACCAAGCTCTATTCCCCAGGCTTCAGGAAAAAAGAACAATTTTGTTACAGTACAGCCCAGAACCCTGCACAGACTCACTTGTTCAGGGCCTGGGGAGATCGTATACTGGGTAGGATACTTGCCTTGTATCGAATCCAACATGGATTTGATTCCCAGCATCTTACATGGTCCCCTGAGCCAACCAGGAGTGACACCTGAGTACAGAGCCAGGAGAAAGCTCTGAGCATCACCAGATGTAGCCCAGTCCCTCACCCCCACAAAAGGAAAAAAAGTCACAAAATCAGTCTTTGGCAGACATTCTCAAGAACTGGTTTGGAGGGTCCTCATAGGTCCTAGATAGCCTTAAATTATTTACCATTGTTTCACACTCGGGCTTGGATGGGGCCTGCGGCTTTCTGGTTTCTCCAGTGATTTGGAAACGACCAAATAGCCCTTCTCAGGGACCCTTTAAAAAGACAGTTGCTGCATTTTCATGACAGTTCTCAGGCTGCCGCCTTGATCTGTTTGTTTGTTTATTTATTAACGCCGAACGCCCAGCAGTGCTTAGGGTGACTTCTGGCTCTGTACTCAGGAATCACTTCTGGTGGCCTTGGGGGACCATATGGGATACTGGGGATTAAACCCAGGTTAACCATGTGCAAGGCAGACACCTTACCCGCTGTACTACCATTCTGGCCCTTACTGGTGCCTTTCTACAAAATCCTCTATCATTCCTTTTCCAAAAGTGACAGTAATAGGTCCGTGTAGGAAAGAGACATGACAACATATACCGGACCAAGCAATACCGTCGTGAGGCGAGGAAACTCTTGCCAGTGGGCCAGCTGCCCCAAATCGTGCCGTTTAAGACCCCCACAGGTAGCATTCAGACCCAGGGAGGGGAGGCCATAGAAACTGCCTAATCCACTTTCTTGCTTAGGACTGATGGACGGCGCTGGTCTCTGGCCTCTTTGCCTTCTTCAGGCTATGGAACCAACACTCCGAGTTCTACTGTCTCAGTAAGTAACCAAATCAGTGGCCGTGTGCCTCCTTCACGCTGAAGAAATTCTTCCCCGGGAGTTAGTTAATGCTAATCACGGAATTGCAAAGTGGTTCTCAGCTTCTTCTCTGAAAATTGACCCAAAGAGGTTCCTGGGGCTGGGGCTGATGAGGGCTGAGAGCTTGAACCCCTTAACAGCCACAGCCTTGAACAACAAGCACCTTGGGAAAGACTCAAGCCCCATATTGTCTGGGGGTGTGGTGATGCCTTTGGAGTTAGAGGTGGACTTGAGGCTTTGCCGGTGAGGCCATGCTCGGAGGCTTCTAAGATGCTTCCCCCGCACAATTTCCTAGAATGGCATCCAAGCAAGATAATCTCGCCCATGTCTCAGATCTGTGAGACCTTTCTCCTTTTTCACCTTTTTCTTTGAGCGGGCCCAGTAACGTCTCCATTGTGAGACTTTCTTGTTACTGTGTTTGGTGTATTGAATACTCTTGGTAGCTTGCCAGGCTCTGCGAGAGGGGCAGAGGAATCGAACCTGGCTTGGCCAGGCTGACTCTGCGCAAGGCAAACGCCCTACCGCCGTGCTATCACTCCAGCCCATTAACTGGCTCGCATTAACCTTTTTCTTTTTTTAAAAAAAAAAAAGGATGACAGACCAAAGAGTGGTCCCTGAGCACATAGTCAGGAGTAAGCCCTGAACACATCTGTGTGTCCCCCCAAAAGAAAAGGAAGGGAAGAATGTGACATTCTAGTTCGATCTGTATCAAGCAGAAAGGGTTTGGTTTTGGTTTGGGGGCCACATCCAACAATGCTTAGGGGTTACTACTGACTGTGTACTCTGGAATTATTCCTGGCAGGGCTCCAGGGACTATATGGGATGCTGGGGATTGAACCCACCAGGCAGGTGCCCTGCCAACTGTACTGTCTCTCTCTGATGCCAAGACTAGGGGGCTTGTTCCTAGAATGTTTAGTTAGTTTCTCTTAGAAAAGGTTTTAGCCTATAACTCAAGTATTTAAATTGCTGCCGTGTGTGTGTGTTGATTTTTTGGGGTGTGTGTGTGTGTTTGTGTGTCTGTTGATTTTGGGGGGGTTCACTCCCATCAGTGCTCATCAGACTGAGCAGTATTGGAACCCGAACCCTGAATGCCCGTGCAAATCATTGGCTCCCACCCTTTGAACCATTGCCCTCAGCCCTCGAACTTACGTACTTAGTTCCCCTCCCTCCTCCCCACCCCTGCTTTGTCGTTGTCGTTGGTGTGATTGAGGCAGGGACTGGGGGTTCAGGTGTGTCTGGCTGTCCTGCTCCACGAGGGTCACACACGCTGTGGTGCTCACACACTCGCGGCTCATAAACACCTGAGTCCGACTGCTCCAAGACTCAGGCGGACCCGCATCACAGATTGTCGGGCTGCGAACGGGGCCATGCCCTGGAGGACCTCCAGGAGCCCGGGAGGAGTCCCTGCTCTCCACTGACTGGTCTTCGTCGTGTTTCCCGCAGTCGTCCTGTTCCTCACAGGAGAAGCTGCATCAGCTGCCTTTCCAGCCCACGGCGGACGAGCTGCACTTCCTGACCAAGCATTTCAGCACCGAGAGTGTGCCCGACGAGGAGGGCCGGCAGTCCCCCGCCCTGCGGCCCCGCTCCCGCAGCCTCAGGTGAGGGCGCTGCTCCCCGGCTGGTCTTCCCAGCACTGGCCTCTGAAACGCGTGAGGCTCAGTCACGTTCCCTTTCGCCCCTGCGGGCTCTGTGGCAGTTGCTCAGCTCTGTCATCAGGCTTTGAATGTAGCCACATCTTCGACTTTCTCGACAAACACAGTCTCCGGGCCAGGTCTGGCGTGGGGGTCAGAGCCCACTGCCTTCCCCGGGTGACTCAGGTGAATCGGGCCAGTGAAGCGCAAGTCTTTGTCTGTTGGAGTCCGTACCAGGCCTTCCGCCTGGCTCTCTGCTCAGGGGCCACTTTCGGTGGCAAGCAGGGCACCCTCTGTGGCGCTGGTGCTGGGGACCAAACGGGGTTGGCTGCATGCCGGGCAAGACTTGCCCTTCCTTGGCTTTGGCCGCAGCTCAGCCATCGCAAATGCGGTCAAGTGGGCCTGCTGTTCCCTTTGAGGGTCATTAGCTGTAGAAACGTACTTTAAGATGAGGCCGTAGAGATTGTCCGGTAGTTTAAGGCGCTTGCCTTGCGTTGGCTGACCGAGGGCTGATCCCCAAGGTCCCGTATGGTTCCGCGAGCACCATCAGTCGTAATTCCTGAGCGCAGAGCCAGGCGTGACCCCGGAGCATGAGGGGTGTGGTTCCGAAACAAAACCCAACAATAACTGAATATACTTTAAGCTCCAGTTGGGAAGAGGAGTGTGTTCATTCCAATCCGATGGTTACCTGGTTATAGAACCCAGAGCCGCAGGCTGTTTGAACGAAAGAGGTGGCAGCCGAAGACGTTTATGGCTTAGAATTAAGCCCCTGTCGGAGGCAGAATGAGATATCCATCTGATCTTATGCCCGAACCACATGGGTTCTTTAAAACTGTGTGTGTGTGTGTGTATGTGTGTGTGTGTGTGTGTGTGTCTGTGTCTTTGTGTGTCTGTGTTTTATGGGCCACACCAAGCTGTGCTCAGGGCTCACTTCTGGCTCTGCGCTTAGGAATCATTCCTGCCAGAGCTCGGGAGACCGTTTAGGGTGCTAGGGATTGAACCCCAGGTGTCCTACCCATTGTATTATCTCTCTAGCCCCAAACATTCTAACAGATGATTCATCTGGAATGCCTTAGACTAATTGGTTCTTCTTTTTCACTATCGACTAGTTAATTGAAGTCAGAATTCCAGGTTCAAGGAGAGTGTGGAGATTAAAGTGTGCTTGGGGCGCTGGAGGCATCCACACAGAGGTCAAGGTTAAGCCTGGCATGTAGCTGACTGTTTCCATCCCTGGCGCCACCCTGGGCACTGTCAGACATGCTCTCTGAGCAGAGTCCGGAGTAAGCCCTGAGCACCATCACAAAATAATTTCATTATTAATCAGATAAAATGAACCCAGAGCTCGGCTTTTCAGGAAATAACACATTGGCTCACCTGTTCAGGGGGACCTTCTGGGGAGCGTTGCCTCCCTGGGAGATTCACGTACGTGGCGTTGTCCTTTAAAGGTCAGAGTGGAGCGAGGCCAGGAAGACTGGTTCCAATTCAGAGTGGGTGAAGAAGACAGGATTTTTAGTACAAAGTGTCACAGGTTCAGGGCAGTGAATTTGGGTGCAGCTCCCTGGTGTCTCACAGAGAACACCCAAATCTTTCCACTGCCCCCCAGCGTCCAAGAGCGGACCCTTTAGGTGTTTGAGGTTCCCAGGCCCACAGTTGCTTGATTACTGCTCGAGAACTTGGTAGAGCCCACAGCGGGGGACCAACTACCCATTCGGCGTGTGGCTCAGACTCTGGTCGATTCACACGTGCCTGAAAGGGGAAGAGCGGGTGCAGGTCTGTAAGTCCCTACAGGCTGGATTGGTCTCGTGTCATCCCCTATGTCAGAGCCCCCCCTCAGCCTAATCGCCTGCTGCTTGTGGTGGGGGAGGGCAGGAATCTGTCTTCGGTGATGGTTTGATGGGATCGGATTCCTCGAATATGCCGGACTGTGTCCAATCCCACTGGCCAAAGCAGAGATGGCCCAGAGTGTCCTGTTGTAGGGGAGGGCGTCCAGAAAGCCACCAGCGGCTGGGGAGCAGTTTCCTCCTTGCTAGACCTTCTCGGCCTTGGCAGGCGTCTCCGTGAAAGCCAGTCTTCGTACAGGAAGGCGGCCAGCCAGATGGCATCATTCTGAGCTGCCCCAGATGTCCTGGCAGCTACAGGAATAAGGAAGCCCTGGAACTCAGAACTCATGAAGGTGGAGGTGGGGGTGCTGGGTGTGGAGGGCTGAGCAAGAGGGAGGGCAAGGGCTCTCTCTCTCCTCTGTTCCTCAGGGCGGGGAGTAACACCATTGTTTCTTTCTTACTTAGTCCTGGACGGTCCCCAGTTTCCTTTGACAGTGAAATAATAATGATGAATCATGTATACAAAGAAAGATTCCCGAAGGTAAGGATTCTTCTTGAAGGCACTGCCCAGGGAGTGGTCCCCAGTGGTCATTGCAAAGAGCTGCGAGCGGCCCAGGAGCAGGAAGACCCAAACCCCAGAGCTCAGGCCCGCAGGAGGGGAGGGCCACCGAGTTCTGTGGGCTTGGGGTTGGTTTGTCCTCAGGGAATTTCAGCGCCACCGCCCACAGGAGAGGCGTCTCAGGAGAACCGAACCGTTTGGTGCTCACCCAGCCAGTAACGGGGACGAGAGGAACTGAAACGCGTGCTTCTCCTGTCGCCTGCTCCTGGGGTCCCTGTGCCTGGCCTGTGCGCCGAGTCCTCAGCTGGGGCCTCACTGCCAAGTGCACAGACGGAGCCCCGCGTTCCTGTCAGGCGCAGGGAGGTGGGAGACAGGCCGTGGCTTTCACACATTTCCATTGGGATTTTCAGAGGGAAATGCTGAGGGGAGCGACAGATTCCCTTCCTGAGATGGCGGGAAATAGTCTCAGCCGCTCCGCAGCTTAGCTGTCAGCCTCCTTGTTTCTGCAACTGGGACCCTAGTTCCCATTTGCGTTTCTCTGGGGGCGTCTCATGCCTGAACACTCTTCGCGCACAGCCAGTGCCAGCTGGGTGAGACCTCGGGCCTCGTCTCCACTCCCGTTCCCCGATGTCCGGAGCATGCGGCCCTCCAGGCTTGCTCTGTTCTCTGCCCGCGCCTCCCAGCCTGCTCAGCCTCCCTAGCGTGTGGGGGGGTGTGTCCTCTGCTCCCCTGGGAATGTCCTCTCAGCTCAGGAACAGTCTCCTGGACACACATGCGCGCACGCGCACACACACACACACACACACACACACACACACACACACACACACACACACACACACAGCGACCCCCAGCAGCAGAGATGAGGACGATGAGGGATTCAGACCTCCCACCTGTAGGGCCGGGATGGGCGAGTTCCCTCCTCCGCTCCGGCTCCCCCTGAAGTCTCGGACCAGAGTATCTGCCTCTCAGGCTGCACCAAGATGTGCGGGCTCTCAGGAAGGGTCGCCTCTTCTCTGCTGAGCCTGTAGCCTGCATCTGCACGCCCCGGCCTTGCTTTCGTGGGCACCACAGGGAAAGAGGGCGGAAGAACAAGCAGCTGTGAAACGGCCCTGTTACCCTTGGTTCGTTCTCGAGCAGTGTGCGTGTCTGTTCCCTTTCCTCTCTGTCTCGGAGGTCTCGCATTCGGGTGCTGCGCGCTTGCAGTGTCTGCAGTTCCTCGTGTGAGCTGAGTTTTTGTTGCAGTGTGTTGTTCGCTCCTCTCCTCGTCTGGACCCTCCTTCTCCCTCCCCTCTCCCCTCTCTCCCACTCCTCTTGTACCCACGTTGATGTGTATACATCTACACGCCCACGCCAAGCCCACACTGGGAATCGCTGGTGGGAAGGGGGAAAGGGCAGCTCTGGTTAAGTGAAGCCTGTCGTTCGACGCCTGCGGTGGGGGTCCCCGGAGGTTTCTGAGCGAGTGTTCCACTCACTCTACACCTTTGGACGTTCTGTGGAGGCGCAGAGGAAAGGCAGCCCGAGATTGCGGGGAAGGCTCCTGCAAAGACTTCCGAGGATGGTGATCCTGGTAGTGAGGTCAGGAGTGACGGGTTGCCGGGCAGACTGGGTGAACGTGCCACAGGCAGGAAAGAGCAAAAGCAGACGGGAGACAGCGGCTCCCCGTTGTCCTTAGAGCTCCCCACAGCGTGTGGTCAAGAGAGGCCCCGGGCAGAACCGGCCTGGACTTGGCCGCTCGTCTGCCGCGCGAGGAGGAGAGGGCCTCTGAGCAGCTCAAGCAGAGCTCCTGACCGGCCCCCTCAGGCTCCTGCCGGGATTGGCAAGAATCGAGGACCCCTGTCCTGCTTTTCCTCCCAGGCCACTGCACAGATGGAAGAGCGGCTCGCGGAGTTCATTTCCTCCAACGCTCCGGACAGCGCGCTGCCCCTGGCAGACGGGGCCTTGAGCTTCATCCATCACCAGGTGATTGAGATGGCCCGAGACTGCCTCGACAAATCTCGGAGTGGCCTCATCACCTCACACTACTTCTACGAACTTCAAGAGAATCTGGAGAAGCTCCTGCAAGACGTGAGTGCCCCGGGACCCGCCCGCCACGCGGTCAGGGATCACTCGTCCCTGCCCTTGTCTGTCTTCTCTTGGCCACCTCCGCCTCTCTTCTTGCTGGGCTTATCCTCAGTTGTGGGGCCAAAGGAGATGGATTCCCCCTCAGTCCCTGGCGTTTCTGAGAGAAGATCGCCTGTTATCAAGAACTCAGCTCTGAGACCGGAGAGATAGTCCTCTTGATAGTGGATAAGACACTTTCCTCTCACATGGCTGGCCTGGATTTAATCCCCGGCACCCCATCTGGTCCCCCAAGCAGTGCCAGGAGTAAGTCCTGAGCATCGCTGAGTGTGACCCCCCCCCCCCCAACCATAAATAGATCACTAAACGAATAAATAAATGGGTAAGGTCCAGACCAGGGAAACGGCTCGAGAGACTAGGGTGCTTGCTTTGCATGTGGGGACTTTGTTTAATCCCAGTTCTTCATGGTCCTCCAAGCACCCTCCGGCCTTACCGCATGGCTAGAGGGACAGACAGTTGGAAAACACGATGATGCCATGGGCCATTAACAGGTGCTAGGAGATATGAAAAGTCTGTGTGTAGGTGTGGGTGTGGGTGTGTATGTTTGTAGGGAAACTCCAGTAAGACTTCACAGTTGATGTTTGGGCTAAGCCTTGAAAAAAATCTATTTAATTTCACTAATTTCACAGCCTCTCCCGTTCCTGACCAATTTCTGAATGGTCCCATGTGCTGTTGGCTTTCTCGACAACCTGTTCTCTCTTCAGTCTTTGCCTTTACTCTCTTCTCCTCACGTGTCACTGAGGCAGTTTGAAGCAAAGGTCACTGAGGGAAAACTTGCTGACTGACTGCCAGGTCTGGGAGCTCCTTCAGCCTCCGCCTCTCCTCAGCCCCTCACTCTTCTCTTCAGTCTTGCCCCCCTCTGCCAGGTGCCTTCTCTGCCCCTCCCTTAGCGTTGAGGTCCCGTCACCTGCTGGCTGTGTTCCGCTCTTTCTCCCTCCTCAGCCTCCTCCACTGCCAGTCCTGGCGCTACAGGACCCGCCTGTGACGGCTTCCCTCCTTGGCCTCCTGAGCTCCACGTCACTGTCCCCAGCTGCCTAAGGTCTTGTCCACCTGGACTCTGAGGGTTTTTTGCAGTGAATGGGAAGCTAGCTCTGAGCCGTGTGGGCAGGAGAGGGAACCGGATTACCCAAATGGCAAGTCGAGCCTGAAGCCTCCTCGCGGTCATGCACTCTCTCGCTCTCTGAGCACCTGTTGTCATTTATCTGTTTCTGGAGCCCCAATCAAATCACCTCTGCTCGGCTCTGGTAGCGAGGGGTGCAGCCTTGCATGCAGCCGCTGGAAAACAGCAGTTTTCCACAAAAGAGAAAGGGCCCGGCGCGGAGCCAGTGAATCCCCACGAAGGCCGCCAGCCTGGGTCCCTCCAACTCCAGGGGTCCGACACAGCTGCTCTTTCAGCCTGCCTGCTTTTCCTCTCACACCCAGTGTCAGGGCTGGAGCACGTGCCTCCTGTCTGGGTGTCCCTGAGCTCCGTCCCTGGGCACCCCCAGCATCCCAGGTACACAAAGTCAAGCTGAGCATCACCGCCATGGGGCCCCCCAAATAAACCCGAATGCGTTCTCGCGCAACCTCACGTAAACCACTACTTCCGTATTTCCTATTTTGTTGAGGGTTTCGCTGAAATTTTCCTACATTGCAGTTGTCTTTACCTCCTGTACCTGCTGCCCCAACCCCTCCTTTGCCACCTCTGTCCCCTCCCTCTGGAGTGGCCCTGATGCCTCTGTCACCTGCCTGTGGCCTATGGCCATTCTCCGTTCTTCTTGCCTTTACTGACGCCGTTTTCATCCGAATTATTACAACAGTCAAGAAAATGGGGTTCCCTCCCTTCAAGCTTAGCTTCTTCGGTGACCATCCATACTTGAGCCAAAGAGATCTTTCTGGAATGCCCATCTGGTCATGCCTCTGCTGCCTTGTGGCCTGTCTGTTCCTTGTATCTGTCTATCTTGGGCAGAGAGTGGGCGTCACGGAGGGGCCGTTGAGAGCCGCCCCCGGAGCTGGGTGTGAGGGTAAGCGGGGTGGGGCGGCGGAGCAGGGGAAGCTGTGTCTGGGGGGTGTCCCTGTGCTCCCGCGGCCGTGCCCCCATCGCACAGCCCACTGACCGGCCCTCGGAGCTCTTTGCTTTCCCGAGCTCGTGGCTCCCCGCGATCGGTTCTACCTCGCCCTGCCGCGCTGGCCAGTGGCTCACTTGTCTCTTCCGTCCACCCCGGACCCCCACAGGCTCATGAGCGCTCGGAGAGCTCGGAAGTGGCCTTCGTGATGCAGCTGGTGAAAAGGCTGATGATCGTCATCGCCCGCCCGGCTCGTCTCCTCGAATGCCTGGTGAGTGGCTGCTGGAAGCCTGGTGGGGCGGACACTGTAGAAGGACTGCCCGTCCGGAAGATGGGGATTGGACGGGCACGACAGGGACCGGTATCGGTCTGGCCCTCCCCACCCTGTGCAGGCCCTGGCACAGGGGGGCCTGGGGGGCTTGGAGAACACAAGGGCACTCGTGCACGTGATCATTCAGCAACACTTCAGAGGGCACCGGCTTCGCTCTGGAACTTGGTAGACAGGATGAAGCCAACAACCAGCTCTGAAGTACGTGCTCCGAGGCGGAGTTAGAGTTGGTTTGTTGGTGCCTTAGGTAGAAGACTTGAGACACTCAAAGGATGATTGTGAGTTCTCCAGGTGAGGAACGTGGGCAAGGGCGTTGGATGAAGTGCATGCAAGGTGTAGTTGAGGCATCTGTGAAGGAAAGGCCGGGAAAGGAGGCAGGACAGACCCCAGCTCTCACCCTGGCGTTCGTGTTTACCCTGAACGCAGGCGGGAACCAGCAGAAAGTTTCGCTGAGAATGAAGTTGGCGTAGTCAGAGTCGCTTTTTCAAACTGACTTTATATAAGATAATTGACATGTGTGAAATAGACCCCTTCGGGGGCCAGAAAGGTAGTCCAGTGGGTAGGGTGCTTGCCTTGCACTTGGTTTGGTTCTGTCCCTGACACTCCATCTATATGTGGGAGGTATCCCTTTAGAGCATATAGTTCAGTGAGTTTTAACAAACATCAGCCCATATGGTTACCGGCACTGCTGAGCTAGAGCTTAGCCAGGCAGCCATGCCCCCGCCTCACCGGGCCTCTCTTGCCCAGGTCAGCATTCATCTTTGGCCTTAATTTCATAGGAGTTAAATCAAGTAGTTTGTTATATGAGGCTCCGGTGTATTATGTACATCAATGCTTGGATTCTGTGATTATTTCTCAGTAATATGCTGATAGCTTTACTTTTTTTTCTTCTTTTTGGGTCACACCTGGCGATGCACAGGGGTCACTCCTAGCTCTGCACTCAGGAATTACCCCTGGCGGTGCTCGGGGGACCATATGGGATGCTGGGAATTGAACCCAGGTCGGCCGTGTGCAAGGCAAATGCCCCACCCACTGTGCTACCCCTCCAGCCCCTGTTAGCTTTGCTTCTAAGAAGGACCACTGGGTGCCGCTGGCTAATGGTCTGGGGGCAGGCAGACGAGCCAGGGAACTGGTACGGACTCATCTGGGGAAAGAGGTGGGCTGGGCGTGAGGGAAGTGTTCCCATCCGACAGGGACTGAGGAAGAGGTTCTCCATGTCTGGCGTAGGTAAGAGAGAGAGTGGGGGAGGGGAGGGCAGCGTCCTCTGAGAGACAGCAGAGTGGGAGCGGGCAGCTGCGGCTGTGGTCAGGCCGAGGGCCACCGCCACAAGAACACGAAGTTCGGGACTTAACAGGGACACTGAGTCAGGCTGGTTTTTTGTCCCTTCCTCCTTTGGCCTCGTAGGGACGTCATCGTGTTGTTAGGTCTCGCCCCGAGTGGGGCACCCACCGGAAGGCCCCCAGTAAGTGGGACCCAGCACCCAGAGGCCGCCCCCCTGAGTTCCGCATAGCTCCGCAGCCCTGGCACACTGAGGGTGCCGGGTCAGATCTGAGGGCCAGTGTACCCCGAGAGGCTCCTCTGACACTGGCCTGCGGCGGGCACTGGTCCCCGTGAAACCAAACACTCTGGTTGCCGTTGCTGAAGGTAGCCTGGGTTTGGCCTGTCTGCTCTGGGAGTGACCGGAAGACCACATTCCCTCTCCGCGTTTCCTGCCTGTGATGCTCCTGGCTGTTCAGGGGTGTCGGGCCCAACCCACAGGAAGCCCGTTTATTCACCGGCTCTGACAGGGGCGGTAGAACCAGAGACCAGACATCTTCACTTGTCGCTCCCACCTCTCCCTCACAGGAGTTCGACCCTGAGGAGTTTTACCACCTGTTAGAAGCAGCTGAGGGCCACGCCAAAGAGGGACAAGGGATTAAATGTGACATTCCTCGCTACATCGTTAGCCAGCTGGGCCTGACTCGGGATCCCCTGGAGGGTAAGCAGAGACGCCCCGCAGCCCACAGGCTCTGACCCCAGGGAAGCCAGAGTTGGATGCAGACATGACACAGCCTCGAGGGCCACGCGTTCCCGAGAGGAGCCCCCTGCAGAATCACCCACGTAGCCCTGAGTGCATTGCCCTGAGCCCAGCCAGGCCCAGGGTCAGCTTCCCGACCTAGAGTCAGAGTCATCACCAGCCGAGGACCCCGATTCCCTTTCCAGACACACTCGCCTCCCCGCATGGTCGCCTCTCCTGCTGCCACTTTGTAAACTGCCCTGTGTTTGGCGTGCTCCCGACCTAGGGCTTCAGACGATGCCTCCGCTCTTCTGGGCGTAGGCCCTCCCCCTGCTTGAAGAACAGACTCGGCCCAGTCCGTCTTCCTGCTCCTGCACCCCCCTCCCCGGCCCATCCAGCACGATGTGGACTGATAGCCCAGCGCGGGGCCTAATTTCCAGGAGTTGCCCAAGCTAGGGGGAAGCTTGATCAGAGTACCTGGCAGTGTTAGTAGCACTGGCCGTCTCGGGGTGGCGATGTTTGCCTTTTCTCCTGGACCGCAATGGGACAGAACCTCCGAGCCGCGTTTGCGTCCCAGACAGGCGGCTGCACTCAGGCCTGCGCTGCGTGTGCCTGTTGTGTGCGGGGGGATGGACCCCGGGGTGTCTGTGTGGCCGCACTCCAGCGTGCTTCTTTGATCCTAGAAATGGCCCAGCTGAGTGGCTATGACAGTCCCGACACTCCAGAGACTGATGATTCCGTCGAGGTAAAGATCGTGCCCACCTCCCTGACGGTCGCTTCTGGGTTCTGCAGCCAAGGGCTGGGCAGCCTGAGGGGTCTGGGGGAAGCTGGGCTGGAGTCTGCATCCGGGCGAAGCGCTCCCTCCGTCACCTGGGCTCTGCCTTCGGCAGGGCCGGGGCTCGTCTCTGACCTCTACGAAGACGCCCTCGGAAGAGGACTTCGAAACCATCAAACTCATCAGCAATGGCGCCTATGGGTAAGAGGAGGTGGCCCGGGGCCGGGACGGCGCTACAGTGGGTGGGCAGGGCATTTGCCGACCTGGGTTCGACCCCGGCGCCTCATCCCGTCCCCTGAGCATCACGGGCGTGGCGCACAAGCAGAAAAGGGAAGGCTCCCGCTCAGATGTGCGCCCTGTGTGCGTTTGCCCGGGCATGACGCCCGCACGCCGTTCCCAGGGCCGTGTTCCTGGTGCGACACAGGGCCACCCGGCAGCGCTTCGCCATGAAGAAGATCAACAAGCAGAACCTGATCCTGCGGAACCAGATCCAGCAGGCCTTCGTGGAGCGCGACATCCTCACCTTCGCCGAGAACCCCTTCGTGGTCAGCATGTTCTGCTCCTTCGAGACCAAGCGCCACCTGTGCATGGTGATGGAGTATGTGGAAGGTACTGGGGAGGGGGCCGGGCTGAGTCCCCACCGGGGCCGGGCCCCCGAGCTGGACCCCGCAGCGGGTGGACAGGGGAGTTGCAGGGTTCGGCCTCCCCGATCTCCGGCGCCGGATTCTGGCTTGGGATCTCGGAGGGCACTTGGCCCCGGGGCCCGAGGCTCCCAGCCCTTCGCAGGGTCCGGGACTGCCCGTGTGGGGCACGGTGAGAAGCCGTGTTGCACACGCACGTCCGCGTGCCTCGGGCAGGAGCCGAGGAGGGCATGGAGGCCGCAGCAGAGGCCTCGGGCGTAGGAGGGAAGAGCAGGCCCCGGCCGATGGCTCGTGAAGGCAGCTCTCCTTGGGAGCACGCAGCCGCTCGAGGGAGAATTGAGCACCCTGGGGTGCGTCTCTGAGGGCCACGGCACCAGGAGCCTTTCCTCCTCCCTGAGCTATCAGCCCCCTGTGACTCCGTGGGTGCAGTCTGGGAGTGACCACGTGGCTTTCCACAGAAGCCAGAAACTGCCGGCAGGGGGGAGGGCAACGAAGAGACTGAGCTAGAGGACCCCCCAGCCAGGAGTGCCCGCCCCCCCATCCCCGCCAGTGCACCCTGCGGGGCTGCCCCCGGGCAGGCTGCACTCGGCCCGCCAGCTCTCGGCGTCCTCGCCTTCCCTCCTGCTCCTGTCCACGCGGTGTCTGGCACCTGGCTGGCCCCTCAGGCAGGCCATCCGCCGAGCCCAGCTGGAGGGGGTTGGTTCCTGCTCTGAGGGGCCTGCGCCTGTTGTAGGAGGAGACTGTGCCACCCTGCTGAAGAACATCGGGGCCCTGCCCGTCGACATGGTGCGCCTGTACTTCGCGGAGACTGTGCTGGCCCTGGAGTACCTGCACAACTACGGCATCGTGCACCGCGACCTCAAGCCCGACAAGTACGCGCCGCGCTGTCCCTCCTGCATCTCTGAGGGAGATGGACACAGTTTGTTCGAACTGGTCCCGGAATGGCTGCAGAGAAATGGTGCTCGTGGGTGTCCATCGAGGCCCGTGCTCTGGCCCCCGTCCAAGGCCATTGCCAGCGAGCTCTGGCAGCGGCAGCCTCAGGCTCCGGTGACACGTGCAAGTCACTGAGGAGCTCTCAGAGACGCACAGGAGGGGGCCAGCACATCTGCTCAGTGCTGAGCAGGTGCCCGGGCTTTCTGTCAGTGCCGTCCCTGCCGAATGGGTGACAGGGGGGCCCGAGTAGACCGCAGCCCGGGGCACACAGAGGAGGGTGAGGTAGGGAGGAGTTCTCCTGAGGAGCAACAGCCGCAGCCCTCAAGGCTGAGGGAGCAAGGCCCACTCAGGGACAGGCCAGCCGTCGTGGTACTATCTGGAGTGAGAACGCGGCCCTAGGAGAGACGGGGCCTGTCCCCACGGGGCCTTAGTTAATTTGGGTTTCGTTTAGTTTTGAAGGGTAAGAGCTTTATCGAGGGATGACACTACTTTCAAAGAGGAAATGAGATCATCAAGAGAGTGGCTGGGGGGAGACGTAGATCCAGCAGGCGGGGCGGGTGTTAAGGGAGCAGCTTCCAACGTGGGGCCCAGGCGCTGTGATGAGCCTCTGAGTGACGCCAGACAGAACCCAGTTCCCACAGTCATGGGGGGCACTGAGGACTCAGTGCTCAGGCCGGGGCATTCCAGGGGCCGCTTGGTACTGGGAGTCGGACTCGGGGCCCTTGGTGTGATGCCAGGCCCACACCAGTCCTCTGAGCTGTCCACCGGACCCCTGACCACGTTGTAACTCACCTCCTCTGACCCTTACGTTCCTGCTCCCCCCTCTAGACAGGATCGTAGAGCCTAGCCTGTGTTCATGTACTTGAGAGCACCGTTTCCCAGCCTGGGGCCCCAGGATGTTCCAAGGGGGCCACAGTTGAAAACTGACGAGGGAGGGAGAGGGGTCAGAGGAAACAGTCCGGAGGGCCACGGCGGGCTACTGAGAAGCACCACGTGAGTCACAGTGACCAACTCAAGTGGGTCGGGGGTCTGGCCCTGTGAGTGAGCGTGGGGACAGTCAGTCAGGCAACGTGGACAGAAATCGGGGCCGGGTCTCCCGGCCTCCGTGAGTGGGTGGCGGCCAGTGCCTTTGGCGCAGGAGAAGGCCGAGGCAGTGTGAGGGCGGGGGCGAGAGCTCCTGGGGAGAGTCGCAGGTTCTGAGCATCTGAGCAGTCTCGCTTCCGAGACAGACAGCAGAGCAGGACGAGGACCCTTTCCTCTCCCCAAGTCAGACCAGCTGGGGGCTGGGGGGGGCAGTGCCGTGGCGGGGGCCGCCAGCGCTGGAGGAACGTCTGCTTCGCTCACCGCGCACGGAGCCCAGTTGGGGAATAAATAGAACCGAGGAGGGGGTGGGAGGGAGGCAGGCCCGCGCTTGTGCAGGACCGGGCTCGCCGCGCCGGTGCTATTTCTGCTCTCGCAGCTGCTGCCTGCTCAGGAAGTCCTCGGCGGCCCGCTGGGAACCGTGGCACCTGCTCGGATCCGCCCTCCCGAGCCCGGGAAGTCACCCCCTCCTTCCTTTCTCTCATTTCCCAGCCTCCTGATTACGTCCATGGGCCACATCAAGCTCACTGACTTCGGCCTTTCTAAGATCGGCCTCATGAGCCTGACGACAAACTTGTACGAAGGCCACATTGAGAAGGACGCCCGGGAGTTCCTGGATAAGCAGGTGGGTGGGTGGAGGCGACGCCGGAGCTGAGGCGGGCTCCAGCCGCGGAGTAACAGGCCACCCGCGCGCCCTGGTGTGGGTGCGGACTCGGAACTCAGCCCTACCTTTCGGTTTCTGGGTCATTGTTTAGGAAAAGGTAATGGGAGACTGAGATACAAAATCCAAAATATCTTGCTCCGCAGGTTTACAGAAAGTTGGTTGCTTTATTTTTTTTTTCTTTTTTTTTTTTTTGCTTTTTGGGTCACTCCTGACTCTGCACTCAGGAATTACTGGCAGTGTTCAGGGGACCCTATGGGATGCTGGGAATCGAACCTGGGTCTGCCGCATGCAAGGCAAACTCCCTACCCGCTGTGCTATCACTCCAGCCCCCAGAAAGTTGGTTATTTAACTGTTGTTGAACTGAGATTGTCCTGAACTTCCTAAGCCCAGTGAAGGGCAGGACTTTGCTGCATTCCATTTTTCTAGAACACAACCCTGCCTTGCCCTGGCAGCGGGGAACAGAGGCCGGGGGGACGGGGAGGGGGGTCAGGGGCCAGAAGGACGTGCTGAGGTCTCGGGGTATGGTGATCTCAGGTCAGAACGAGACATTCTAGTTTAGAAAATGTGTAGAATTCACCCCTCCAGTGGTTCCAGCTGTGGTGCCTGGTCCTGTTACTGCTTGTTGTCTGGAGTGACTTTCTGTCTGGGGAGGGAACATCCCCAACCCCCCGGCCTCTCTACCCAGGTCTGCGGGACCCCAGAGTACATCGCGCCCGAGGTGATCCTACGTCAGGGCTACGGGAAGCCGGTGGACTGGTGGGCCATGGGCATCATCCTGTACGAGTTCCTGGTGGGCTGCGTCCCTTTCTTTGGGGACACTCCAGAGGAGCTCTTCGGGCAGGTGATCAGTGGTAGGTACCCGGGGCAGAGTCTGGCTTTGCAGATGTGACTCCTCCTTTGGGGCTGCAGATTCTTGTTCCGAACTGGGGGTGTGCGTGCCGTTCTCGCCACGAACGCCACCCACATACGTGTGCTGTGCTGTGTGTGTGTGTGGACACTCACCTTTCTGCATCCACGGGAGTTTCCGTGTGTCTGGAGTTTAAAGGTGGGATGAGCCACTGCTGTGCCCTCCCCCACTCCCAAACCGAATAGGGCGCCTGGGGCAAACCGAATAGGGCGCCTGGGGCAAACCGAATAGGGCGCCTGGGGCAAAGGTGTGCGTGGCCCCCCGATGGGGTGCTGGGGAGTAGGAGGTCTGGGTCTCGGGTCCTATCAGGCCACCTTAATCGTCTCCTCACCTTGGCCCTGGGCACCGTCTCCCCGTCCGGCGGGCGAGCTGGGAGCCGCATCTGTAACCCCTCCTCGCCCTTCCATTCCCTGTGTCGCTCCAGACGAGATTGTGTGGCCCGAGGGGGACGATGCGCTGCCCCCGGACGCCCAGGACCTCACCTCGAAGCTCCTCCACCAGAACCCTCTGGAGAGGCTGGGCACAGGTAGGACAGACCCTGCGGGGGCGAGGGGCGGGGGAGGACACGGGTCTCACCGGGTCCCCCCGCCCGCAGGGGGTGCCCACGAGGTGAAGCAGCACCCGCTCTTCGCGGGCCTGGACTGGACGGGCCTGCTGCGGCAGAAGGCGGAGTTCATCCCGCAGCTCGAGTCTGAGGACGACACCAGCTACTTCGACAGTAAGGCCTCGGGGCAGGCGGGCAGGTGGGACCCGGTGGCGGTGGCCGGGTGGCCGGCCGCCGGCAGGTTCTCTGAGGGGCTGTGCCGTGTCCGCCCCAGCGCGCTCCGAGCGCTACCACCACGTGGACTCGGAGGACGAGGAGGAGGCCAGCGAGGACGGCTGCCTGGAGATCCGCCAGTTCTCCTCCTGCTCCCCGAGGTTCAGCAAGGTGGGCCCCAGGGGCCGAGGGGTGTGGGGGGAGAGGGGCGCGGTGGACCCCCGGCGCCTCGAGCTGGCCCCGCGCTGCGCCCGCAGGTGTCCAGCAGCATGGAGCGCCTGTCCCTGCTGGAGGGGCGCCGCACGCCGCCGCCCACCCAGCGCAGCCTGAGCGAGGAGAAGGAGGACCGCGCCGACGGCCTGGGCGGGCTGAAGGGCCGCGAGCGCGGCTGGGTGCTCGGCTCCCCCGAGATGTGAGCGCCCAGGGGAGCGTGGGGAGGGTGGGGGGGGTGGGGGGGTCCACCCGGGCGGACAGTGGCCGCTCACCCTGCTCCCCCGCCCGCAGCCTGCGCAAGCGGCTGTCCGTGTCCGAGTCCTCCCACACCGAGAGCGACTCCAGCCCGCCGCTGACCGTGCGCCGCCGCTGCTCCGGCCTCCTGGACGTGCCGCGCGGCTCCGAGGGCCCCGAGGAGGCGGGTGGCCCCCCCAGGCGGCAGCAGCAGCAGGAGGCGGCGGGGCTCCTGACACCCTCTGCCGAGGGGCCCTTCTGCTCCAGTCCAGGTGGGCCTGCGGGCGCTGGGGGGGACAACGCCCCGAGCGGGGAGGGGCGCGCGTCTCATGGGTCGCCTGGGTCCGCAGCCACGGAGCCTCGAGGAGACCACAGCAGCCCGCAGCTGGCCGAGGGAGCCACCCCCAAGGCCATCAGCGACCTGGCCGTGCGCAGGGCCCGCCACCGGCTGCTCTCCGGGGACTCTCTGGAAAAGCGCACCGCGCGCCCCCTCAACAAAGTGATCAAGTCTGCCTCGGCCACTGCCCTGTCCCTCCTCATTCCTGCCGGTGAGGGTTGGGGTCTCAGGAGGTCCCGTGGCACGGGTGTGACCTGGCCTGGGGAGAGGGGCGGCGGAGGCCTCCGGGCGTGCAGGCTTGGAGTGCTGTGCACAGTAGGGGCTCCGCAGGGCAGGCACACGTCCCAGCTCCCCCATTAAACTTTGGCTTTTATCTTTGAAGAAGTTCCCGAACCCCAGGTTTCACCCCAGCACCAGTGTGTGTGACACAAAACACTCAAAGATGAACGAATAAATAAGAAGGGCTCCCCAGGGGCTTGGCGCAGGGGCTAAGGGGAAGACACTTCTGGATCGGCACCCTGACAGGGCGCAGGGGCTGTGCTTGGGCCCCAGCCCACCTCAAGCCCTGGCTTCTCCTCCAGAACACCACAGCTGCTCTCCTCTCGCCAGCCCCATGTCTCCGCACTCGCAGTCCTCCAACCCCTCGTCCAGGGACTCTTCCCCGAGCAGGGACTTCCTGCGAGCCCTCGGCAGCGCGAGGCCCCCCATCGTCATTCACCGTGCAGGGAAGAAGTACGGCTTCACCCTGCGAGCCATTCGGGTCTACATGGGGGACTCCGACGTCTATACCGTGCAGCACATGGTGTGGGTATGTTTCCTGTATCACTCCCCTGCCTCCAGCAGCGCTGGGGGACCCCAGGGTGGGGGGCGGGCAGGGGCACGGGGACGGGTGCTCGGCACGATGAGTAGGACCGGGCCCACACGCCAGGCGTGGCTCCGGGCTGAGCACTGCTCCGTTTCCCCCGAGCCAGCATGTAGAGGACGGGGGACCGGCCAGTGAGGCAGGCCTTCACCCAGGGGACCTCATCACACACGTCAACGGGGAGCCGGTGCACGGGCTGGTGCACACGGAGGTGGTGGAACTCATCCTGAAGGTCAGTGTGGGGACGGGGGTGCCGTGGCGGGGGGCCTTCACCTACCTGAGCCCCGGGACCCTTCTGTGCTGTCGTGAGCCCAGGGAGCAAGACAGATGAGCCTCCCAGCCAGGCTCTCAAGCCCGGCCCTCAGGCCCCCTGGGCTCCATCCTGAGCCAGGAGGAGGCCGGGCAGGCTGGGACTATGTCCCCACCTGAGCCTGGACCTCATGCTCTGCCCCCAGAGTGGAAATAAGGTGTCCATCTCGACCACGCCCCTGGAAAACACTTCCATTAAAGTGGGGCCGGCCCGGAAAGGCAGCTACAAGGCCAAGATGGCCAGAAGGAGCAAGAGGAGCCGGGGCAAGGACGGACAAGAGAGGTGAGTCCCTGAGCCCGGGGATGGCAGCCCTGCGCCCTCCGTGCCCCCCGGTGACCCTGAGCCGTGTCCCGCAGCAGGAGACGGAGCTCCCTGTTCCGGAAGATCACCAAGCAGGCGTCCTTGCTGCACACCAGCCGCAGCCTCTCGTCCCTCAGCCGCTCCCTGTCGTCGGGGGAGAGCGGCTCGGGCTCCCCCACGCACAGCCACAGCCTGTCCCCGCGCTCCCCGACTCAGGGCTACCGGGTGGCCCCCGACGCCGTGCACTCAGGTAGGCCGTGCCCTGGCTCCTCGCGTGTGGGGCGACTCCATTCCGTAGGGGGGCTGGGGTCCTAGTCGGGAGAGTGGGTCCCGCGGCATCCCGGGGCACAGCCCTGCTCCCTGCGACTCACAGTGTTCTGTCTGTCTGTCCGTCTGTCCGTCTGTCTGCCTGCCCGCCCGCCCAGTGGGAGGGAACTCGTCACAGAGCAGCTCCCCCAGCTCCAGCGTGCCCAGCTCCCCCGCCGGCTCCGGGCACACGCGGCCCAGCTCCCTGCACGGCCTGGCCCCCAAGCTGCAGCGCCAGTACCGCTCCCCGCGGCGCAAGTCGGCCGGCAGCATCCCGCTGTCCCCGCTGGCCCATACGCCGTCGCCGCCCCCGGCCGCCTCGCCCCAGCGCTCCCCGTCGCCCCTGTCGGGCCACGGCACGCAGGCCTTCTCCGCCAAGCTCCACCTGTCGCCCCCCCTGGGCCGGCAGCTCTCGAGGCCCAAGAGCGCCGAGCCCCCCCGCTCCCCGCTGCTGAAGCGGGTGCAGTCGGCCGAGAAGCTGGCAGCGGCCCTGGCCGCCTCCGACAAGAAGCTCGGCCCTGCTCGGAAGCCGAGCCTCGAGCCGCCGCACCCGGAGCTCAAGAAGGAGCTGCCCCCGCGCGAAGGCAGCTCCCTGGACGGCGTCGGCACCCGGAGCGCGCTGCCGGGGAAGGGGGTGCTGCAGCCTGCCCCCTCGCGGGCCCTGGGCACCCTCCGACAGGACCGGGCTGAGCGGCGCGAGTCCCTGCAGAAGCAGGAGGCCATCCGGGAGGTGGACTCCTCGGAGGACGACGCGGACGACGGGCCAGAGCCCAGCCGGGGTGACCCAGAGCCCTGCATGACGCCTGCGCTGGAAATGGGCCCGGGCCTGCCCCTCAGAGCTGGGGCGGGTGAGGAGGAGGACGGTCTCTTGCCCAGGGACCCCCTGGCAGCAGCCTCACGGGGGTCCCCCCGAGTAGAATGCCCTCGCGTCTCCCAGAGGCTTGGGAGCCCACAGAGCTTCGAGGTGGCCACTGGCTCCTTGAGCAGGGCTGGACTCGCAGACCCCATCCCGACTGAAGGCTGCTGGGAGGCCCAGCACCCCCATCCCCAGGCACTCTCAGCACTTTGCCCCTGCTCCCCAGGACTCGTCACCCCCTCTGGGGAGCCAGCACCATGGCCCTGGAAGTGCCTCCTTGAGGGTGCAGACAGGGCTCCGGGTGGCAGAGTAGCCGCAGTGAAAGGTGGGCCCGCTTCCCAGGACTCAAAACCCACAACTCCAGCCCACCCGGAGGACCTGGCGCCCTGGCAGCAGGGGGCCACCTGGCCACCCAGTGACCCTCCGCCATGCGAGGTTCCTGGCCAGGTCCGGCTGTGGCAGCCTGAGTGTGCACCGACAGAAAAAAGAGGGCCAGCCCTGGGCCTCAGCAACATGCCTGACGCTTCAGGTGACCGGAGGCAGGACGTTCTGTACAGCAGCTGCCCTCTCAGCCAGGAGCCTGGGCCCAGCCCGCTCCGGAGAGACCGAGACCCTGGGGGTCCTCAGAAGTATCAGGACTTGGCATTGGCACCTGATGAGCTTTTAAAGCAAACATGACCGGGGTTTGCCATTTCTGCACTCTGACCTGTGTAATACACGCTCTTGGAAACCACCTGTTTCTCGCGTTTGCTTCCTTTTCTTGGTTTTGTCTTTGGGCCGCACCGGCTATACCGAGGGCTGACTTAATTCCTGGTTCTGCCCTCAGGAGCCACTCCCGGCGGGACTTGAGGGACCATATGGGATGCTGGGGGTCGAACCCGAGTCAGCCGTGTGCGAGGCGAGCCCCCTACCCACTACCTCTCCGAGCCCACGTTTCTCTTCTTTACACAACACGAAGATAACGTGGGCTGCGACTGAGAATCTAGATAGTGGTGAAGAGTGAATTTCCGTCAGCCCAACTGAGTTTTTATGACGTCTGAGTTCACGAAAGACCTAGGGTGCAAGAGTTAGAACCGCAGGAAAGGAGTCAATCCCCAGTCCGCTGAGCACAGAGGTAGGAGTCCGCTGAGCACAGAGGTAGGAGCTCACCGAGGCTCACGGATATTGCCGAGGTTGGGGAACACCCCTGCAGCTGTGTGGACGGTGTGGGTAGGAACAGGAGGCAGCTGTGGGGATGTATGCTGGGTGTCAGGAGATGGTGCCAAGGGAGCAGGGCTCCTGTGTGGTGGGGACCTAGGCAAGGAGAGCCTCAAGGTACAGCGTGACTTCTGCCTCTCCATCCAGCGCCTCTGTTTGAAGAGAAGCCTGGAGGGGGGGAAAGAAATGCCACTGCCATGGCCACCAGAGGGCGATCTCTGCCCATCATGCCAGCCCTTTTTTTTTTTTTTTTTTTTTTGCACCCTTCAGTTATCTGCTAACAGCTGCCCCTTGACCAGCCTATACTGGTCAGCGCTAGGAACAGTGGAAAGGGGTTGCCTGGAGGACCACACCCCACACTCCCCAGGCTTCAGCCTGTGTGAGGGTGTGGGCAGGCACATCCCACAGTAACTCAGGCAAGCAGGGAACTTGAAGGGGCCGGGTGAGGAGTTGGGGAAAGGAGTCACAGCCCATGTGGAGGGCACCTGCTGATTCAGCCTGAGAGGCGTAAGAAGTTTCTGAAGGAGGCAAGTACTATCACATTTATGTCTGAGGAAAATCAAAAGCTCAAATATAGACGAGAGGAAAATGATGTGATACAATCACATTGTGATGAGGACGTAATGACTAGTGGCTGGAGGACTGATCAAGGACAGCAGTGAGCTTTCTTTCCCCCACAGGGGAACGTGTAGGAGCCAAGAATAATTTGGCATTCTCCGCAAGTGTAGGTCATTAAAACCGTAGTCAATTAGTATTAGACTGAGAACATGTGTAGAAGGAAAGGCCCAAGACATCGGGGTTAGCAGGAAGCCAGTACAGGATAACTGACATGGGAAATGAACTTGGAAGAAGCCAGGCCATTTTAAGAATTTTGTAACGCTCAAAATTACAACTGCAATCTATTGAATGATTTTACGCAGTTCAGATTTGCATCTTGAAATGTCTGGTTGCTCTTGGGAAAATGGAGTTGAAGTGGGCAGCTGGGGAGATGAGTGAGGCCTTCCCGTTTGAAGACGCAGATGGGCATGGAGCGGTGACGCTGGAGAGAATGGTCTTTCGTCTTGCCAAGGTGAAGTGGAGAAGGGCGATGTGTTTTACGGACATGCAGCAAAGGAAGACGCTCTCAAGATAAGGGCTGTATTTCTGTGCATAACCAAACGAATTATGTACTTAGGTTCACTGAAGCGTGAAATAATGGAAAAGAACCAGGGTTAGGCAGTAAAAACCAATCAGTATGCAGCCTCTGAGCCACTTCCCTGTGGAAGATGGACAAAATGGGCCTAAACGAGGTAAGTGAACTCAGGAATGTAGGTGAAACTGCTTGGAAGAGCTTTGGCGGGCTGATCACAGACTTCGTGCATCGCGTGTCTCTGGGCATCACCAGCTGTGGCCAATCAGAAAACAGCCAGGAAAAAAGGCCCAACTAATAGGCAACAGGAGTCCTGTAATCTGAAGTACAGAACTAGAGAAATGAGGGGAATGGGTAGGAGTTTTTTATGAAAAATAGTCAACAATGGTTTGAATTTTTTTTTTTTTTTTTTTTTTTTTGCTTTTTGGGTCACATTTGGTGATGCACAGGGGTTACTCCTGGCTCTGCACTCAGGAATCATTACTCCTGGCCGTGCTCAGAGGACCATACGGGATGCTGGAATTCGAACCCGGGTTGGGCCGTGTGCAAGGCAAACAGCCTACCCGCTGTGCTATTGCTCCAGCCCCTGGTTTGAACTTTTAAAACTTTTTTTTTTACCCATGCCCCTCCCCTAAAAGTTCATTGGGCAGGGTACAGGGGCTATTCTTGGTACGGCTCATGTGGTGCATATGCTCCAGCCCATTGAGCTCTCCAGCCTCAACAACTGTGGTTATTTAAGACATCAAGGAGAGCAATTTCAGGTGATGGAAGAGCCTGTACTGAAATGCCTGAGGATGTGATGAAATAAAGACCAGACAGGCTCCCCACGCAGCCACCCAGGAAAAAAAAAAAAAGATTCGGTTTTGAAAAGAAGTTCAACAATGTTTAAATGTCAACAGAATGATCCAATTGGCTCTAGACTGAACAAATTCAAATTAATAATTGATCATGGAGATTTCCTGGAGGGGAAACTGATTCTAAAATACATGTGGGGCTGACCTGATTTGATCCCCGGCATCCCATATGGTCCCAACACCACCAAGAGTAATTCCTGAGTGCAGAGCCAGGAATAACCCGTGAGCATTGTTGGATGTGACCCTAAAAAAAAAAAAAAAGACGACTAAAATGCATGTGACATGGCTTTTTAGTTGGAGAAGGGCAGCCTTTTGTCATTTAACCCGGGAGAAAGGAGTTATGTGGATATCAACAAGTTTCTAGATTTGATGATCTGAAGGTTAAATAATTCACAGCCAAGTATGTTTTTCTTTATAAACAAACCAAAAAAACCACCCCAGGCTTTGGAGAGTGGGGTAGTGGAGTTCAGGTGGAAGATGGGCTAGATGTAGGAATTTTTCGGATTAGATCCTAGTCTGGGCTGGAGCGATAGCACTGCAGGTTGGGCATTTGCCTTGCACGCAGCCGACCCGGGTTGGATTCCTCTGTCCCTCCTAGAGAGCCCGGCAAGCTACCGAGAGGATCCCAAGACACGGCAGAGCCTGGCAAGCTCCCCGTGGCGTATCCGATGTGCCAAAAGCAGTCACAAGACGTTACCGGTGCCCACTCAGGCAAATCGATGAGCAACGGGAGGACAGTGCTACAGTGCTACAGACAGCTGGCTGCTAGGGGACGCTTGGTAGGTAGCTGAAGTGTAGGAGGAAGGACCACAGCAGGGTCCCCGGGCAGGCTGATCTAGGGGGCCTGAGACACGGATGAGCCTGCCCTGCCCTGTGCTTGGCTCACCTGTTTGTGGATCGTGTTCCCAGCACAGCAACTTCTGTTGGCAGGAGGGCCGACAGCTGAGTCCTTGGCCCCTGCCCCCAGACAGGATCTGGAAACACTTATTTCTGGGCAAATGTTGTAAGAACCAATAAGTGAGGATTTCTCCGAGGATGAGGGCAAGGAAGAAACATTCTGAGTGCCGCCCGTGTCCTGTATCGGGCTGACAGGGTGCCAGTGTGCTTCCCGTGTCCTGTATCGGGCTGACAAGGTGCTTCTGGAATCCCAGTTTGGCTTCAGGATTGATCTAGTAGTGCTCACGGGAGAGGAAGTTTGGGAATTTCAAATATGTTCGGTCAGCCCCACTCCCCCAAAGCATTAGGACCAAAATAAAAGTGCTTTATTGCAATGTTTTTATTGCGTTACTGGAGCAAGTTGGCCAGACTGTCCCCTCCTGGGGAAGGTAAAAAACAAAAAGACCAGCAAAGTAGATTCCCTCACCTTCCCCCCCAATCCCCACAACTGCACAGCAATGTCTGAACACACCTGGTGACAAGAACAATTTGCAAAAGTGGTCTAGGAACTACATTATGAACTGTCCCAACACAAGACACAGAGTTGGCTTGTGAATCAGATATTTTTACGTAAACTACATGAATTTTTTTGACTACATCAAAGACAACAGAATAGATTTTTCACAAGTAACAACAGGGCACCAAAGTCACATGCTGGAATTTATAAGGAGACAAAGTTGTTTATCCCAAGTGGCTGGAGCTATAGCAAGGCTGAGCAGCCAGCGGCAGAGGACCCGGCTGGACTCATCTGAGCCGTCTGCTTTGGGGCCTCCGGAGCCTGGAGGAGGCCTACCCTGGAAATCTTAACTGGCAACAGGTGACCTTGAAAAGCAGGCGTCAACCAGATGCAGTTCTTGGCCCAAGAGAAGTCGGGTTCTTTTCTTGCAGCAAGGAGACCCATGGAAGACACTACACTGGCACTAAGGTCTTCCGAGCACATGAGGTCCAAGAGAAGTTGGAAGTCACATCAAGGCTTGGAGACAGGCAAGAGGAGGTATTGGGAGGTCCTCGACCTTGGCCAAATCAGTGAAGAGGACACAGCTAGCTTATACAAACCTGGCTACAGCCAAGGTTTAGCATCTATGGCCAGGAGGAAACACGTTACTTTGTGATTTAAAAAAAAAAAGAAAATCCATCTCAAAAGATGGGCCTAGGCTCTACACCCAGCCAACCGCCATGCTGTTTGCGACTGGCTGCCGGATTCTCTACCAGGAAAATAAATGAGCCCCTCTGATCTTGGTCTGTCCTTTCAGCCTCTGCCCCAGGAATGCCCCAGAGCAGGGGCAGGACAGAGCAAGCCGTGGGAGAGGAGACCAAGAGCACAGAATGAAAGAGCTGCCTGAGTATCTGGCAGACTGTCCCCTACGGAAAGCTCAAACAGATCACGTGACGACTTGCCAACCTCTCCGATGAGCCCTAGGTCTCAGTTCCCACCAGGCAACACATTCAAGAATGAAAAGCAGGAGAGAAACGAAAGAGGAAGGAATGTAGGACTAGAGGGTCACCCTTCACAAGCCAGCCGGTGTGGGGGACAGGAGCCCGAGCGCGTGCTCGGACGCTCCCCTGCCCTCGCTCCGCATAGGGGTCCATGTTATAGCAAGTATCCTGGTTTCCAGTGGTTCGTTTCACAAGGACAGTTAGTTTAAAAGCCCGCTAGACTTGAGTACCTGAGAGGAGAGATTCCTGTGCATCCTACGTCAGCATCCAGCAACCTGAAAGCAGCTTCACACCAGGTGCGGGGCCTTGCAGCTGGGCCTCCCCACAACCGCCTGGCCCTGCCTGGCCCGGCACTCCTCGGTCCAACTCCGTCAAGATCTCAATCTGGCAGTTTGTGGAAAGGCCCTACAGCTGGCTGGCCTGTCAGAACTGAACGCTGGAGGGGGATCACTTGCGTCTGCACCCAATCCTGAAAATCTGATGTAGTAACCAAGGAGAAGCCAGAGTTCTGTCCTTTCCTTCCTACCTTCACTGAGAGCAACGCTGGTTTTCCAAAGAAAACGTCATCTACGTCTATTTCTATGTCCTGGTCCATCCCAGACCCTGTCACTGGACGAACGCTCAGGAAAGCCGACTCTGTCTCTTCCATCCACAAAGCTCGAGCTTCCCTGGCTGTAAACCTCACACCAAGACCCGCATGGAGACTTGGCCAGCTCAGCCGGGCCGCCTGCCGCACAGCTCCGGGCTCAAACCGCTGACTCACTCCCGCCCCATTCTGGTTCCAGGATTGGCTCAGAGGCAGCTGGACTCTATTTGTCAAGTGAGTGTTGACTGATGGGGGCTGGGCATAACGGGGGCAGGAGGAGATGGCTGCCTCCAATCCCGTTTGCCCGGCCTCACTCAGCTGGAAGGCTTACACTGCACGGAGCAGGCGATTCCTGGCCTAAAATCAGGGCCACTGAAGCATGAGGACAGTTTGTGCACATCATCTTAATGGCAGGATCACCAAAAAGAAAAAAAAGGGAAAAAAAAGGCAAAGATAAAAGCTTCCAGATGGCTTTTCCTGACAGTGTAACTTCAAGCCACCCAGTTCTCCTTCAGACGCTTCAGAAACCACCGTACGGAAGCACGAGGGGTTCAGGGTCCGCCCCTCGCCCCAACACCAGCGTGCCTGTGTCTGTGCTTTACTGCGGCTCCTGGCCACGCCGGCCCCCTTCCTGTCCCAGCCTGTGCCACCACGTTTCCCTAGACCCTAGCCAGCAGAGGACAGGGAGATGGACGGAAACAGACCACATGCTTCTGCAGGCATTTCGACTCAGGGAAGCACACGCAAGAATGTCGTTCTAGGTCGTTATTTGGTATATCAAGCCATCTAAAAGCACTGGATTGCACCTTTTCTTTACTCATACAAACAAATTACAAAGGTTTCAAACAACAGATCATTCTTTAAGCTAAGGAAACACCACACAAGCACCAACTTCATTTTATGATTCAAAGCTCACCATGCCCACACACAGAAACAAAACAAAACAAAACAAAAAAAACCACTATTCCTCATCTCTGAGAAATAAGGGCAGGGCAGGAGTTACACTGACCAATTTTAGTGTTTGCTAAAAACTAACAAAGTCTAGTTTTCCTTTCATGTTCAAGTTTTGGTACGGAAGTGTGCATTCAGATACGCGTGCCGCCTCTTCCATCAGACTGTAGTCCAACAGCGATGTTCTTCTGGGGTCAATTTGGTTTCCAAACTTGATGCTTCTAGAGGGAGGAGCTACTGTCAGGCCAATACCCTAAACTTTATCGGCTAAGGGATGAAGAGCCTCTATAAAGGCCTCTGCCCCCGACCAAGCTGTTTCCCGTGAAATCCCCAGCCTCCCGTCTTCCTTTGGTCGTCTTTGCCACCAAAAGCCATTTTACTACAAACTGAAACATCCCTCTGGGGGGAAGGGGGGAATTAAGAAAGACCACCAGCAGGGAAGTCCCCACAGAGCCATGACCCCTCCCCGTCTCAGAGGCTTCCCGATCCAGGCCGCCACACCCCTCACGCCTCCTGCGTTCTGTTGAGGATGCCTGGTTAAACGAAAGAAAACTCCTGATGAAACGCTTCTCCAAGAAAACATCTGCTTCCAGCTTCATCGGTCAGTGCAGCGGCCCGGCTCAGTCCACAGGACCCAGGCCCTCTGCCCCACCCTGGCCGGCCGCGGCTCGGCCTCTCCACTTCACATTCACAGAACCACTTCTTGTGCAAAACAAGCAGTCTACGTAGAAAGAATGCCCTCACTGTCTAATAAAAACTGTAGAAAAACGGCTCGAGAGCCACCGCCCACGCCCTGCCCCTTTATCTGCAGAGCGAGGGCGTCTGTGCGTGGACCGGGTAGGCCAGCCGGACGTTGAGGGAGTCATTGTGCTGGACGAGGGACGTCTGCTGGTAGTGGAGCACCAGCTCCTTCAGGGAGCCGTACAGGTTGTAGGGCTCTGCGAAGCCGTAGCCCCGCGCCGTGCTGTAGATCACACAGTGCTTGACCTCTCCGTCCGCGCTGCGAAGACACAAGCAACACAGGTGACGGTGCATAGAGGGGTCGTGAACGAAAGCCCTGGTTAGCGGAGCAGCTGTCAGGCAAAGGCGAACCATTAGAGCCTGCGTGTCTCCCACGCCCCGGTGGAGACAGGTGCCCTCCACGGGATGGCTACCCTGACGCTCATCAGGAAGAACACCCTGGACGGGGCAGAAACCCCCGACGTTCTCAGGGTTCAAACCAGAGGCTTTCAGGGTATCTGATGTTCTCGGTATCACAAGCTGCCAAATTCTGGATTATCGCCACCTGGATAGAAACCGTAAACCTGTGAGGAGTCACTCTCTAATTCCTCCGTCCCCAACACTGCCAACCACTGACCTGTTTTCTGTCGTGGCTCCGTCTGTTCTGGGCGGGTCACACGGATCCGCCACCTCTCACTCAGTACACCGACTGCTAAGTCTCTCTACGTGATCATATGAACTGAACTTCGTTTTGTCTAAGGCTGAATAATATCCCAGGGTACGGGGAGATCACATCTGTCCATCAGTTAATGGACACAGGCTATTTTCCATTTTTTAGCAGTTACAATATGCCACTCTAAACATTCATGTACACCTTTTTGCATGATTTTATATATATATATAAAAAATGTGTGTGTATATATATACACACACACATATATATACATAGATGCTCAGTCATGTGATTATTCTGTTTAACCTTTTTTCAAAGCTGCCCACCACCCCCTGTTCCTGCCGACAGTATCTGAGGGTTCTGACTTCTCTACATCCTTGCCAGCTCTTGTTATTAACTATCTTTTTATCAGTTACTCTAGTGGTATCTCATTGTGGGGTATTTTGTATTTTCTGGGTTTCTGAGGGAGGTTATTTTTGTTGTTTGGGAGGTTGCTGTAAGGTTCAGGGAATATGTGGTCCTGGGACTTGAACCCTGGCCTCCTGCATACGAAACATATACCCTAGCCCACTGAGCTATTTCTCCAGCCCTTGTTTGTGGTTTTGATGTGTACTTCCCTGATGACTAATGATGATAAGCATTTTTATATGCTTAATCCGTTCGTTTCTGGATCTCTCTAAAAATGCTGCTTAAGCACTATTTTTGCGGGGTTCTTTATGTGTTAAACATTGGCTCTAAACAGATAAATGACTTATCAGGCTGGAGAAATAGCATAAGACATACGGCACTAACTTGCATGACCCTGGTTTAATCCCTGGCACCATATATGGTCCTCCAAGCACCGACAGGGGTCACTCCTGAGCAAAGAGCTAAGAGCAATCCCTGAGCACCACTGGGTATGGGGCCCCCCACCACACAAACACAAAAACAAAAGATCATATTATATGACTTGCAAATATTGTCAATTCTTTCTGTGGGTATACTGAAATGATTATGTGGGGCTTTTGGGTTTGAGTTTTTTTGTTTTGTTTGTCTTTTGATTTTGGGTCACACCCAGTAGTGTTCAGGGCTTGCTTCTGGCTGTGCTCAGGTATCACTCCTGGTGGGGCTCAGGGGACCATATGGGTGCCAGGGATCAAACCCGGGTCGGCTGCGTTTGTCCTTCATTCTATTAATATTATTCTATTAATAATATTCTATATTACAGTGTTTGGGTTTTTTTTTTTTCCAGTTTTGAGCTATCTCTCTAGCCTGCTTACTTTGTTGTTGTTTTGTTTTCATTTTGGGACCACACCTGGTGAAGTTCAATGGACCATAGACGGTGCCAAGGATGGGGCTGGAGTCAACTTGCAAATGCCTTCCCCACTTCACTCTAGAAAGGACCAGCCTTTCTAGTTTCGATCACTAATCATATTTTGTATCCCAAATGGCAGCACTAACAAAGATCAAAGTGCTCATGACCTGATTCTTATGTCAGGCATAATAAACACATCATCTGCTTGTTGTAGGCTTTCGCCTAAGTAGACTGAGCAGTTTAGCAATTTTCTCTTAGAGTTCTTTATGATGTCATTACAGTAGCAATTAAAATACAAAAGCAAAGTATTCCATGCTTTGTCTTCCTACTGTATAATCGTTTTAATTTTGCCTCAAGAGCCTAAAAGAGCAAACTTATTCACAACCCTACTTCAGCAAATGTCCTAAATGGGAGTTATCACCGCAGGCAAGCTTCCTGTAGCCAAATGCTGGCAACAAGATAATGCCAGACTTTTTACTTCCAACCATCCTCAAGGTCAACTCGAATATGATATATGACTGCAACTGGCTTCCTCTCCCATTTTTTACCCAGAGATAACCAATCATTCATTCTTTCAAAGTCTAATTAAAAAAAAAATAAAACAGCTCAAATGCTACCTCTTCCCCAAAACCTCCCTGCACTCTCTTCCTCCTCCAGAATCAGAGTTCTCTACATGCACTGCTTACTGATAGTGTAATTCTACAGACGAACACGGGTTTCACAAGGAAACTTGGATTCAAACTGACTCCTGGCAGAGGTCGACCATTAAGGACGAGGGAGCGTGGAAAGCACCAAGCGTTCTAGTCAGGAGTATCTTTGTCTACTGTTACCATATTTTCTTTCTTTTTTTGGTTTTGTTTTAGGCCCACACCCAGCAGTGCTCAGGGACCACTGCTGGTCATTTGTGATGACAGATTCGAACTGGGAATTGAAACCAGGTTTGGCCATGCGCAAGGCATGCACCTTAACAGCATAGTGGGTTTTCTTTTTCTTTTTTTCAGGTCACACCTGGCACTCAAGGACTACTCCTTGCAGGGCTTGGGGAACCAAATGCGTTGCCAGCTCAAACCCAGGTCAGCTACATGCAAGGCAAACACCCTACCTACTCTTATCATCTCTCCACTCCCAACCCCTGCACTCTCTACTGCCCTACGCTTAACATCTCAAAGAGTGAGATCATTTTATCATCTTTGCAAACTTTCTGCCCTGTTCACCATTAGCATAATCAAAATTAGTATGTAACACTTATTATGATCAGTACTGATCAAAGCACATTAACTTTATATATGATAACTGACTTAATATTTAGAAAAATGCAAGTAAAAATTATTTTATAGAAAATGAAATTGTGGGGGCTGGAGTGATAGCACAGCGGGTAGGGCATTTGCCTTGCACATGGCCGACCCAGGTTCGATTCCCAGCATCCCATATGGTCCCCCAAGTACCGCCAGGAGTAACTCCTGAGTGTAGAGCCAGGAGTAACCCCTGTGCATCTCTGGGTGTGACCCAAAAAGAAAAAAAAAAGAAAATGAAATTGTGTAAATAAAAATTATGTAATTTATCCTAAGTCACAGGTCTAGTAAGTAGTCAGGTCAGGATGCAAATCCAACATATCTGGCAGCAAAGTTTGCTGCCTCTGTTACAACTGTATTTTTTTTGCTTTTTGGGTCACACCTGGCGATGCACAGGGGTTACTCCTGGCTCTGCACTCAGGAGTTACTCCTGGAGGTGCTCAGGGGACCATATGGGATGCTGGGAATCGAACCTGAGTCGGCCGCGTGCAAGGCAAACGCCCTACCCGCTGTGCTATCTCTCCAGCCCCTACAACTGTATTTCTTGTCAATGAAGAAATTACCAGGGTCAAAGAGTTAGTACATAGGTAAGGTGCTTGCCTTGTATGTGTCTGATCCTGGTTTGAGCTGTGTCCCTGAATTAATCTGTTCCCCCAAGCACTGTTAGTAGTGACCCCTGATCAAAGAATCAGTAGGAACCCTGGGGAGGAAGGAAGGAAGAGGGGAAGGGAGGGGAGGGAGAGGGAGGGAAGCATGCAAGAAGCCCCCGTGTGATCCCCGTTCGATCTCATTTTATCCCCAGTCCAATCTCTTGCACGACACGGTCCCCTGAATACCTCTGGGTATGACCCCAAACCAAAAATAAATTGCTGTTTTTCAAAATAGAGAGGGGACAGAGAGAAAGTGAAGGGGGTTCAGGCATTTTGTCTGAGTAGACCCTGGTTCAACCCACGTACATCAGGAGTGATTCCTGAGCACTGCCGGGTGTGGCCCCCCCTTCCCCTCCAAAGTAAATATATGGTCCAAACTGTGTCCTCATACTATACCTCAACTAATTTCATCTAAATTTTATGAGCAGTTGATATTCTGTCAATAAATGCAGAAGAAATTATGCCGTATAAGGCATTCCACCTGAAAGTGGTCAACCCTAGCTTGACCTCTGGGGCCGCACATGGTACCTGAGTACCACCAGGGGTCTCTCCGGAACAGAGTCAGGAACAGCCTCGTGAGCATCCCTGGGAGTGACCCTCGTTCCCTCAGATCAATCAATCCAGAAATGTTCAAGGCCAAGCCGCCAGGGGGGACTCACACCACAGAACAGGCGTAGCATCCTTTCTTGCTACTTTCACGAATCAGGAATGAGCCATCCGGCTTCCCATAAAGCAGGTCCTCAGCTTGCACTCGATTGATATCTTCGACAAACCAGGTTTTCTCATCATAATGGGGCAGGTTTTCATCTTCTTCATTAATAAAATATGTTCTAAAATTAAAATGTCAAAATATTATTCTTATCAGGCTATGTCTAAACGCAAATTAACAAAACTATCTCCTAAATCTTTAGCCAGAAAATAACTAAGTGAAACTGTAATTCATTAGGGTATTTTTGGGGGGTTGTTCAGGGCACTCCTAAGAGGGACAAGAGTACCCGGTGCCCAGTGGCACCGCCTCTAGGAATCCTCTCAGCCAGCTGAGCCCACAGCCCTGTTGCGATACTGCTGTTTGAGATCTCCTGTGTTCAGGGTCGCCAGGCCATTCTGGAATTCCTCAGGGGCCACTGGAGCTAGTAGTGCCCAGTTAGTGCTAGCAGGGCCCTGTAGTGCCAGGTGGAGGTGTCACGTGCTGCCAAGGCTCGAACTTGGGTCATGTACATGCTGTCTCCCCAGGCCTTGTTATCCACGAATATGCTCGTTCTTCTTTCTCTGCTGTTTTTGTTTGCTTCTCGGGGATCCTGCCTGGCAGGGCTCAGGGTGCCATATTCAGTAGAAAGGACAGGATCCAGCAAGCTGCGTGCAAACGTGTGTAAGACCAGCAGCACCTCCCCCACTGTACTATCTCTCTAGCATCCAACTTCATTCTTGCTTCACCGAAGAAAGCACGCAACTCACAGTGCTCCCCATTTGAGAATCTGCTACGTGGATGTCCCAACAATGCTCAGACATCCAGGTTTCTTGAGTTTGGGCAGGTCTCTGAAGTTAAGTGCCTGCGGCTATTCTTCAGGCAATTCAAGAGGTGCCAAGTTCTTGATTCCATGTCCTCAAGTGACCGTGAAAACCAGTATTTACCACGCGTAAAATAGGAACCACGTTTTGTACTGGGACCAAAGCCCCTTGACAGGGACGGAGTGAACTTACTCATCAGCGTCTTCGTTCTTGATTCCTAACCAGGCGTTCAGGCGCTTCTGCCTCACTCCTTTGTGATTGAGCCATCTGCCAAAGGAAGGCAACAGTGTGAGCACATGTAAAATTCCGCCTGGACAAAGCAGACAGCATCAAGCCACACAAACTCCCCCCCCCGTTCAGGAGCCACTGGTTTTTGCCAATACAAGTAAGTAAGAATGGTCCCTGATCCCCCCCTGCTGCTTTTCCTTCAGCTACTACGAAAGGGCAGAAACACAGATAATTTCTTGGAAAAAAAAAGTGAATTACACTATAGTTGAGATGATATGGCTACAATAATGTTTAAGTCTGTAGTATTGATTCACCCCACCACTAACCACTAATGTGTCCGTGACCCTCCACCACTGTCCTGATGTCACCTCTGGCCCCATCTTCACTCCCTCCACTGTCTGCTGATAAACTTTGCAATCCAAGGCTAAGAATCAACTTGGACTGAGCACTCCTATCCCTTTTCCTTTTCGAGATGAGACCACCACAAGCGCCCCCCTCAGCACTCCCACACAGCAGCATCTGTTCCTGAAGTCATTAGCTAGGTGACAGTCGGCGTCACACTTCCAACCTCCACTGAGCGAAAGGAACCGTGTAGCTCACTGCATTAAGATTCTAAAACAGAAATTCAAAGTTTACTTTTGCACCTAAGCAAGCTACAAGAAACTCCAATGTCAATCTCAATAATAAGTAGGAATATACTTCTAGCACCAGGTAAATCATAGCATCTTAGAGTATCTTAAAATATACCAACACTGGGGCTGGAGCGATAGGATAGTGGATAGGGAGTTTGCCTGGCATGCAGCCAACCTGGGTTCGATCCCTGGCATCCCGTATGGCTTCCCCTGAGCAACACAGGAGTAATTCCTGAGAGCCAAGTCAGGAGTAATCCCTGAGCACTGCTGAGTATGACCCAACATCATAGATAGATAGATATAGGTATAGATATATAGATGCTCTGATGCTAGGTACAGTGCAGTGATACTGTATTCTTAAAGCATTACAGTACTATAAATCAGTGTCAAATATGCTGGCATTTTTACAGGGTTCATAGGTCCTACCCCCGTGCCTGGGGGCCCACAGCCGCTCCTGACAGAGCTCAGACTGGGAGTGCTCAGTCCAAAAGTGCTGGGGGCCATCAGGGCTATACCTGGTCCTGCGAGGGAAAACGTGTGGCAGAAAGAATTTAATTCAGAGCGTTGCACACACTAGACTTGATTTATCTTCCCCACTCCAATATATACCAACCTTTTTGTATGTAAAATAATAGACTGATACACACACTTCCCTTGAGAGGGCTGGTGATCTAAAATTTGAGTGGAGTATAAAAATTCATTCATCACAATTCCCCAGGAAAAGCTTCTGATCAATCAGATTTCAAAAGCCATCATTTTCTTTCAAAAATATTATCCTAATCCAACCCAAGGCAACCCCTCCCAAACACTCTATATATTTTGCCTTATTTGACCATCTTCATAGTAGGATTTGCCAAAAAGTATTGATTTATATTTTTCAGTTGTATCTACTTGTCTCCTCAATAAAACGTAAGCTGCTTTAAAGAAAGGGCTCTGCTTTGGTGGTAGTGAAGACACAGGACCTTCGTGCAGCAAGACCATAAATGTTAATGCTATTATAACCATGTTAAATAAACGATGGTTTAAAAATGAAAGAAAAAACAGTTTGCTCAAACTATGTGCCCATGCTGAAAACAGAGTTAGCATAGAAAATATTCAGAGAGTAGTCAGTAAATACTTGCTGATGGGTTGCCTTTTTTTATTGTTATTTTATTTTCATAAAGTTGTTCACATTAATTGATTACATTCAGTATTTCAGCACCAAGCCCGCCCCCATCACACCTTCCCACCACCATTATTTCGAATTTTCCCACCACCACTCAAGCCTGCCTGCCAGGGGCAGATGCTAGATCATTTATTTTCTATTGCTTATTATGAATATCATGGGCGGTCCTGCGGCCGCAAAAGCATCTGCACGCTTCTGGAATTCTAAAATTGTAAACGGCTGGGTCCAGAGACATCTCTGTAGGGAGCTAATCCATTCTGAGATTCATTTGGGAGTCTCTGGATCAAGGCCGTTGATGCGATGAGATGGTGTCCGGAGGCAGTTCACAGGCGTGACAGCCAGGACCCCAAGCGAAGGGGAGATGGGAAGGGCCATCCCATCTCCACTGCCGCCATGTGGCCTGGAGTCTTAGTCCTTGAACCCGCGTACCTGGATTTTGCTTCTGGAAGCTCGTGGCCATCAGGGTTTCATCTAAAGCGGGGGGGAGAGGGCACACCTGCTCCATCTGAGGTGATGGACTGCCTTTTGAAAAGATTCGGTTTTCACAGTCGGCAATTCAATTCAATAAATATGTTTTTAAAAGATGTTTTGTTTTGTGGTTTTGTTTTGTGGGTCACACCCAATAGTGCTCAGGGCCTAGTCCTGGTGCTGCACTCAGGGATCCCCCTAACAAGGCTCCGGGGACCACACGGTGGCTGAGAATGAAACCTCGGTCAACGCAACCAAGGCCGACACGGTTCCTGCTGCACTATTACTCCGACCCCTAAGTTATATAAGTTTCCATCGTCTCAAAGAGTCATGTAATATTTCTCAGGTCTTTCGTGCCTGCCATAGAGTCATTTGTATTATTTAAGTGACTTCTCTTCTTCTTGTTTCTTTTTTTGTTTGACTTTGGTCACACCTGCAGGTCTACTGCCAGCACTGCTTGGGGTACAATGAGGAGCCAGGAATCAGAGCACGCTCTTGGTCCGCTGTGCTGTGTTTCCAGGCCCTGAAGAACATCAGAAAACCCCTTTAGGAAACAATGCTAGTACAGGACTAAGGCACTTGCCTTGCATGAGGCTGTCCCGAGTTCAATCCCTGGAACCACGCCCCAAACACCAACAGGAGCAACCCCCAGTACAGAACTGGGGGCAGCCTCCAAGCACCACAAGGTGTGGTCCCCAAATCCCCGAAATGACAAGGTAGGATAAGTACCCTTGAATAGATTGCTCTAAATAATTACCTGTAATTTCCCACTATTGGTGTCCTTCCCGAGAACCCCGAGGGTAAGCTATGACTCTGGGTCTGGTTTTATTTGGGTTTTTGGTGAGGAAAGGGAGTTGGGGCCATAGGGGCTGCGCTTCAGGGATTATTCCTGGGTCTGTACTCATGGATACTCATCTAGTGCTCAGGGGATCATATGTGGTGCTGGGGATCAAAGCCTGCTTGGATACGTGCAAAGGAAAGTGTCTTATCTTTTTTAATTCGGGAAGGGGGGGTTAGCATGCCTGGTAATGCTCAGGGATTACTCCTGGCTTCGCACTCAGGAATTCTCCAGGCAGTGCTCAGGGCACCGTATGGGAGGTCAGGGATCGAACCCAGGTTGGCCATGTACAAGGCAACAGCCCTACCCTCTGTATTATCACTCCAGCAAGCATCTTATCTGCTCTCTCTCCAGTACTTGATTTTGATGTTGATATACGGGGAGAGAGGTGATTGGGCCACACCCGTCAGCACTTGGGGCCTATATGCAGTGCCAGGATGGACCCAGGATTGCCACATGCAAGGACCCCAACCCCTATACTATCTCTACGGCTATGTTTTAGAGATCTTTTAAAGCTATGTCAGTTCCTCACGCCACAATTCACCCTCTGAGATATCGAAAGCATTTTTGCAGAGTGGGGTCCCACATTCTGATATTCCCCCCACAATGGTAATCGATATACTGCTACTCCCCTCCCACTAACTATTAACAGAACAGTTTCATAAATTCTTAGTATCAGGGCCAGAGAGACAGAACAGAGAGTAGGGTTCTGAGCATGGCCCAGAAAAAAAAAAAAAAAGGAGAAGTAGAAAAGAATCATAAATCATAAATCTCACTGACCAGTGCTCAATCCCAAATCTCTCCTCCAACTGTAACATCCCTAGTGCCCTGACTGACCAGGTGCTGGCAGCTGCCCGGGACGGCCAGTGCTACTTACACAAGGTGCTGGTCTCGGATCTTGCGCAGCTGGATCAGGTCCGGTTTGATACTATTCATTTTTTTATCTATTTCCCGGTTGTCCAACGCTTGTTTCTTCAAATCCTGCTCTAGACGCACTTTGCTGTCATGAATCTCACCCAGACGCGACTTCAATTTGTCATAATTCATCATAATTCTGTGAAAATATTAGACATCCTAAGGCTAACATCGAAACGAAGCTGAAGTGTCCTACAGAGGGAGTATGGAAGGTGTGGGAGAAGTCCCTTGGCATCACCTGGCCCACACCCATTTCTTCTGGTAATAAATACCCCCCGCTGGGTCCCGTCTTAAGCCTTCTCTCTGGGCGACGCTGCTAGGCCCGCCTGGCCATTCAAAGCATGCGCTCCATTCAGCACTTGCCTTTTGCGCAGTGATCTGATCAAACCAGATCAGCACACCGAGAGTTAACTCTGACTTTTACTAGAATGATCACAGAGTTTCTCTCCCCACTGGAATCATTAAACTGTGAACAAGTAAATCAGGAATTCCAAGCAGCTCTATGGCCACTTCTCAGAAAAGCATGCCTACACGTGAGGCTGGCAAAGGAAAATCCAGCCAAACGACAAAGAGTACACGAGATCCCTGTTGATCCTGCTTGTACCTGCATTCAAGTAATATTCAGAGGTGATACAAGACGGCAGCTTACAACAGTCTGGCTTTGCAAAGAGCCCGCCTAAGTCTGCACCTCTGTCCCTGCACCTGCCCCCTTGTCCTGTGTTTACGGATAAGTTATTTAACCTCTCTGTGTCTTCACTTCCTCTTCTCTTAAAGTGGGTACCTACAATGGTAGGTCACTGTCACTTCATCACTTGATCACTTGATTTCCCGTTAATCGTCGATTTGCTCGAGCGGGCGCCAGTAACGTAATTGGGAAGACACAGTAATTACGTCACTGTATCACTGTGAAATAATATGTGTTAAAAGAAGAAATCTAGAACAGAGGTCAAGAGATAGTACAGGGGGTAGTATTACAATATCCAGCACCACATGATTCCCTAAAGCATCACTGGAGACCCCAGCACTGCTGGGGTAACCAGAGTAACCCCTGAGCAACTACCGCACCCTCAGGCCCTTGCAGTGGACTGTTGGCCGAGTCAGCCAAGAATTGATAGTGGCGACCTCAGTCCTCCTGAGCACTGCTTAAGAGTCATGCCCCATCAAAAGAAAAGAGCACAAGAACGTCCGGCACATCTTAGTAAACCTTCAGTCGGTGATGCGATGAGATTTCTCACTGTGCTCTGAACCCACGAGGCAACAATTGTTGTACTTCAATTTGTCTCTCAAGAAAATATGTCTTTATGTTACTAACAAAATCTTTAGGGGCTGGAGAGGTAGTTCAGTAACAGCGCTCATGTCCCATATGCATAGGGGCCTCGGGTCTCACAAATACTGCACTGTGTTTTTAATGCTGCACTGTGCTCAGTGGCAGAGCACCTGCTTGCATGAGTGAGGCACTGGGTTCGATTCCCAGCACTGCAAAACAAAAAGTGAAAGTCCTTTAACCTTTCCTCTTTGAAACTAAACAAGTTCCTTTCCATTTATTCACTAATAATAATAACTTCCACACATTCATGCCATGTGACAGGTGCATATATGTGATACACACATGCACTCATGAGCATGTGTCTATAACTCAGTTCTCGTAGCATTTCGATAACGTAGTAACCACAAACAATTAGGAGAAAACAGGCCCAGAGTCAAATGACTCACCCAAGGTCACACAACCCGTAAATGGTCAGTATGAAATTCAAACCCATGATTTTAGCATTAAGCCACGCTGCCTCACGGCACTTTAACTATACTTAAGCATGAATTAATTCAATAATACTTTCGTGCTAAAGAGAAATAACTTTGCTGGTCCTTTGAAATGCAAATAATATTGTACATGATTTTGTTCTTTTATTTTTTTGAATCGCACCCAGCGGTGCTCCGGGGTCACTCCCAGTGGTGCCTAAGTACCATGCAAGTACCAGGATCAAATCTGGGCCATCTGCACAGGAAGAAAACACTCGGTCCACCGGGCCTGCATGACTCTGATCCCATGACTCATTTTTCTTTACAGTGTTTTATTGTTTTATTCAACTGATTCAGTTTTCTAGTACTTGACTAAATTGGCTTTAATAAATTTATCAAATTTCTTTCGGTTGCCAGATCCAAGACTTCTCATGCTGGTCTCTATTGTCAAATTCTCATATTTTTCCTTTGGGAGCAAAATGCTGCTGTGCTGGGGAGCCAGCAGTCAAGGGACCACCAGGTGCCACCGATTCAATCTGGGGTTCCCACCTGTCTGGTCTCCTGAGCCATCTTCCCAGACCTCACCAACACGCACTCTCCCTAACACAGACCATCTCCTATCTACACATTCCTCCCAAATCCTTTCTGTACCAGGTTCCAAACCCAAACAACTAGCAGCCTGCTGCCCAGAAATCTGCATTTGAGTTTTCTCAGGAAACTCAAACTCGTGGGCTCCAATCCAGAATTCTCTTCACGTACTCCCTACTCTAGTGAGTTAGCACCATCTCTTCATCATACATGTCACAAATCGAAGAATAAACTTTTGTCTGGGGGCTAGCCTGAAGCATGAGCAGTGCGCAGGATTTGCTCCCAGCGCTGCTCGGTGGACCATGCAGTGCCGAGGACTGGAGCAGGCCTCCCACGTGCAAAGCAAACACTGCAACCCAGCGAGCTCTCTGGCAGGACCTCTAAGAACTGTATTTGCCTTCTCCCCTAACCACTGTATCTGGACAAGCATCAGTCCTTTCTGTTAACTCCCTCTGTTTACTCACTTGCAAGGCCACTGCCTTACCACCCAACTCTATCCCTGGCCCTTTAATTCCCTCTTTTTTCCTGCCAGTCTTCGTCTGAAGACTACAAGAGTGTGGTCACCTGCAACAGTCAGGCTGTTCTTATCCACGGTCTTATTCTGCCTCCAATTTATTCTCAGACTACTGTCAAAATTGATTTTCAGTTCAACATCATGAAAGGTGCTAGAACTATTAGAGAAAATAAGCCATCTTCCTTGCTCCCCCAAAAGCTCATAGTTTAATAAGTTAGTTACTGTTACTGTGACTGTGTTTGGCATCTCGAATACGTCACAGGGAGCTTGCCAGGCTCTGCCGTGCAGACGAGATCCTCTCGGTAGCTTGCCGGGCTCTCCGAGAGGGGCAGAGGAATCGAACTCGGGTCGGCCATGTTGGCTGCGTGCAAGGCAAACGCCCTACCACTGTGCTATCGCTCCAGCCCTAATAAGTTAGTCGCATTCAGTAAATGTTACAGTGGGGAGCAGGCCCAGATACTATAGAAGAAGGAACAGACAGTCTCGAAATCAGTTTAGGAAACTAGGGAATAATTTCTAGGAAAAAATAAGTCATGTAACCTGGGTCCAAAATGATGAGCAGAGGGCTGGAGCAATAGCACAGCGAGTAGGGCGTTTGCCTTGCACTCGGCCGACCCAGGTTCGATTCCCAGCATCCCATATGGTCCCCTGAGCACCGCCAGGAGTAGTTCCTGAGTGCAGAGCCAGGAGTAACCCCTGTGCATCGCCAGGTGTGGCCCAAAAAGCCAAAAAAAAAAGAAAGATGATGAGCAGGATAACAAGTTAAGAAGATGAATAAAGAAGACAGAAGAGGTTCATTTGAAGCCATTAGTGGGAAATAAATCTATGTGACCGTAACGTGAAGTTGGAGTGGTAAGAGAAGAGACAGGACAGAGATTATTGGTGAATGAAAGATGCCTTTTCCCCCTGATGCTTGTACTGGCCGATTACCGTTCAATTTCCTTCTCGTTCCCCTCTCTGCGAAACCGCTCGATATACTCTTTGCTGTGCTGCTCCTGTGTGTGACACTGCTCTTCGAAAATCTTAATTGTTTCGTTGAAGGCTTCGATTGCAGTCCTCTTCATCTGTATTTCCTTGGGAGAGAAAAGGAAACCACATCAATCTTACGGCCTTTGGTTCTTTAACATTGCTCTTCATACGAATCTTCTAATTTCGTTTTGCTTTGGATCCACACTCAGCAGTGCTCAGGGCTTACCCAGGCTCTGCACTCAGGGATCATCCCCTACCTGCTGTACTACAGCTCCAGCCTCCAAATCTTGTCATTTTCGTTACATGCCAATTGAGAACTGAGAATGTGAAATAAGACTTTTACTCAGAAGTTTCTGTCTCTATAACTTATATGGAAAATGCATTTTCAAATCTCAAAATTAAATGAACTGTGTACTTGAAACACAGCTGAGGATCACTGAGGGTTGAGTTGCTAACCCGAACTATCTAGAACATTGATGAAGTTCTGCCTTTACTCCTACCTGTTGTGCTGACCTGTCAAGAAGTGCCGAAGATATGAATAAAGAAAATAGAGTCCATGAACTAATATGCAAACCCTTACTCACAGAAGAAGCTTAACTGACGTATTCTTACTTTCATTACTAAAACATGTAGTTTTCCAGGTAGATTCGTCAGTAGATTAATCTGATTAATCTATGAAAGCTCAGTAGGTTGAACCCATACACCACCAAGGAAAATAGCCGTAGATAGCCCTATATACATCCTGATAAAACTGAGGGTATTAATAACACCTCAGTATCTGAATCATACATAATCCCCCTGAAATCTTTAAAAGGAGTTAAATGTTCAATATAACTTAGTCAAATACTATAAAGGTCTAAAATATGACTATGCCAAGATAACTAGACCTTTAGTCTAGTCATGGCCTTTTCCACTCTGGAAAAGCCCATGTTCTTTCTCTCTCTCTCTCTCTCTCTCTCTCTCTCTCTCTCTCTCTGTCTCCCCCCCACCTCCACCACCACCTCACATCCTCACATCTCTCTAAATTTATTTCCATAAAAACTATTTGCTTCACTAACAAAAAATAATTAAATCAAAATTAATTTTTGGCCTTTAAGTGTGAGAGAAATAGGACAGGGATCAAGATGCTTTCTTTGCCCTGGCCCAGAGACTCCCCGTTGAATCCCAAAATGGGTTAGTACCATACAGAGATGTCTCTGGAACCCAAATATTTACAATCTAGAAATTTACTTTTACAATCGAGGCCACACGAGCTCTTATGATATTCAAAATGAGCAATGGAAAATAAATGATCTAGTATGTGCCCCCCGGCTTGGATGGTGGTGGGAAAATTCGACCAAAACATAATGCCCAAAATTAGAGAGACATAATGCCCAAAATTAGAGAGAGAGTATTGGGGAAACTGTCTGCCATAAAGGCAGAGTGAGGACTGGAATGTGGGGTGGGGGGAGGGGATACTTGGGAACATCAGTGGTGGAAAATGTGCACTGGTGGAGGGAGAGACGTTCCATCATTGTACGGATGAATCTCAAACATGAAAGCTTTGTAACTCTATCTCACAGTAATAGAATAAAATAAAAAAAAATTCATGCCCAATTCAATCAGCTTAATCAAGGGCTGAACAAAGAGCAGTACTTCTACACTCTATATATATACAGAGAGAGAGAGAGAGAAATAGAAAGGAAAAAAATTTGTGGGGGGGGTGCTTACTTAGAGGATAATTCCTCAACTATCCAGTATAGATCAATTTCAACAAATAATTACTGAGAATTCACTATATGGAAAGTGCCATGTAGTGATAAAAACATTCATAAGACATGAGCCTGCAATGGAGGACACAGGTGAAATGTATTTCTAAATTCTAATCAGGTTTGAGATTTCATATCATGGTAGAGACAACCAAGCTGAACGAATTAATCAATTATCGCTTTAAGAGACTTCATGAAGGAGGCAACATCTGAGTTGAGTCACAACCCTTCCATGAAATAACAGGGGTTGTTCAGAAATCAGCAATTACTCAGTAGGGTTAGAACATAAGAGGACATAACTTAATGATGTTTCATAAGGCTGAGGTTATATCTTACATATCTCAGATAATACTAGAAACTTAACAGACTGCTAATGTCCAAGTATTTAGCTACTCCTCTCCCATCATCAGTGAAAATCATGGCTTCTTGTGAACAGCAAGTATGAGCCAGGGGTGTGGGGGCGACTAAAACCTCATGGGTCAGGGGGCGTTCCGGCCCGTCCTTCACGCCCTACCGAGGTCACCAGTTGCCCCCCGCGAGCGGCTCTCCAGCACGGCCACGGCCCCAGAAGCACAAGGACTTAATGCAGAACCCGGCAGCTTGGAGCAGAAAAGTGAACGGACTATGCGTTAATCCAAGCCATCAGGTCTGTCCAGAGGGGAAAGGGTGTTGCCCCAGTCGCCTTCTCTTCTCTGGAAAGAAGGATGGCGGCTGCATGGGAGCCTTGTGGACAGCAGGTATGAGCCGGGGGAGTGGGGGCGACTAAAACCTCATGGGAAGGGGGGCGTTTCGGTCCGCCCTTCACGCCCTACCGAGGCCACCAGTTGCCCCCCACGAGCGGCTCTCCAGCACGGCCACGACTCCAGAGCACAGAAACCAATTTCTTAACTATCTGACTTTCAGTAGAAATACTTCCAGGGTCAATAAGTAAAATAGCAGAAATCCAAAACCAACATTTAATTCTTGAACCCAGCTGTAGAAAGCAAATCACTTCACAATGCTTTGTCAGCATGTCTGATTTGGGGGGAGGAGGTAAACTCTAAATAATAGTGGTGAATCTTTTATTGAAACAATGAATCTAATCAAAGCAGATAGAGTGTTAACTAGAATTCATCTGCCCCACAGGGACTGGGAGGGGTGGGGGTGGGGTTTTATTGGGGTTCTTCATGGTAAAAAATAAGTATTGGTAAAGGGAAATGTGTTTGATATTTGCATGACTGAGACCTAAACCTGAAAGCTTTGTAACCTTTCCCACGGTGATGAAAGAAAGAAAGAAAGAAAGAAAGAAAGAAAGAAAGAAAGAAAGAAAGAAAGAAAGAAAGAAGAAGAAAAAAAAAAGAAAATCATGGCTTCTTTTTATATAGTGCTGGTCCTGTTGTTTCCGGGGCAAATACATCAAAACACTGTTAGGCTTTGCCAGCAATCCGGTCTCTGCGTTCGATAGGGCAGCAGTGGAAAAAGAATTTGACATAAATGCAAAGCAGCAGCTACCCTGTTAACAATGCTGCTTTATTTACCCCAAACTAATAGCCCTCCCATATCTACGCTGCGTCTCTCCTTTCCCCTGCTCTGATCGACACATGCGCATCTCCTCGCCCTTCCTCAGATGCTTCCCTGTACCACCCAGCCCCTCCCTATGTCCTCTGCTCTCTCAATAGTAAGGTTTCTTCTCATCATAATATAAAACAACAGAAATACTCGACTAACAGCACTTGAAAAAGAAATCCCTTCATCCTAAATGTTCATCATGCTGTGGGGCTCCCCAGAAGAAAGACATGTTCAGATCACTTGTTTCTCCATCCCCCTCCTCCTCATTTACATTCTGGCTCATTCTATTCTGGGTGCTGTACCCACCAGTCCAGAGCCTGCTCTTTCCCAGGTCACTGGCAATATCATTGCCAAGTTCCTGTCTTTTGGCCCCATCCATCTCTAAGTGCTATCACTTTTCCTCTTAATTAAATATATGTAAACCAGATGTCAAAAATCCCCACATCCAGCCAACTTGGACCCAGAACACACCATCTCTTTCCATTCTCTGAGAAAAATTCATTGACATCAAAGCAACCAAGGTTTTGTCTAGAATTTTACCCCCAAAAAAGCAACAACTCCCAAACATCTCCAGTTCTTCGACCTTCTTTTACCTTGAAATCACTTTCTGGGTTGATTCTGGGTAAAGTCAACAGGATATCTTAATTAGGATGCAAGGTGTAAAAGAAAAGGTCTAGGGACTGGAGCCACAGTACAGTCCCCGGGGGCTTGCCTGGGACGTGGCAAACCTGGGTTTGACCCATATTATTCCCTGACACCACCAGGAGCAGTTTCTGAGCACAGAGCCAAGAGGAACCCAAGAGCATCACCAAGTGTGGCCACAAATCAAACAAAAACAGTCTAGGATGTAAGTCTGCAACCAAGTATGCAGCCCTGGAAAGCACTTCAGTCAAAATGTGCACCAACTACCACAACGGAAGTGCAAGCCCTGGCAAATGTGCCCACAAGCACTCCACTGGGTATGCAGCCCCTGTGCAGCCCTTGGCCATCGCAACACTGACCACAAGAGGGAGAAACAAAGAACCGAAACTCTCAGTGCCTTTTTTAAAAGGCATACATAAGCACACCACATATAGCACAAAAAAAAAGTATTGAAATAATTCTAAATAACTAATAAAACCTGAAAATAAAGTGGAATCAATTATCTCATATAGGAAAACTGGGTCACTTCTGGCCATTTTAATTTCACACTTCTTCCCGTTCAGTACTTCAGAACAGCATTCTTAATCTCCGTAATCTTTAGGGGCCAATACGTCCCAATAAAGCTCATCAATCCAGAAGTTCTCAGTCAGTCTCTGCTTTTACACTTCCCACCACAGACACTAGCTAGGTAATAAGATCATGTCTGAAGCTAAGACAATCAAGAACACACACAAAAAAATAAAGCAATACGAGTTAATAATACTGTCTGCCATGGAGGCAGGGGGAGGGTGGGAAAGGGGGTTACACCGGGGAGATTGGTGGTGGGGAATGTGCACTGGTGGAGGGATGGGTGTTTGATCATTGTGTGATTGTAACCCAAACATCAAAGCTTGTAACTATTTCACGGTGATTCAATAAAATAAATATTATTGTACCTTGGATTCTTTTTTTTTATTTAAAGGATAAATGTACAAAATACTGCTAAAAATCTATGTTGATGTACATATAAAGTATAAAAATTAAGTTAGTTAAGTTAATGTGAGTAGAGAGGGCAAGGACAGGAAGACAGCTCAGAGGGCTGAGCACATGCTTGCATGCAGGAGACCCAGGCTGGATCCCCAGCACTGCATGACTCCCCAAGCACCACCAGGAGCAGCCCTTGAATTTTATCAGGTGTGCTCCAATCAAAAAAAAAAAAAGCCAAGAGACAAAGGAAAAAAGGAGCTAATAGTTCTATACTACTGAAAACTATCTGAATTGCTATTAGACAAGGTGTTGAACAGTTAAGATAGTAAACTCCCAAATGTTGGTGTAATATTTGACCAAATCAGGACTGACTTCAGCTTCTCCTTCCAGCTATAATCTAAGCGATGAATGAAAGTGGACTCAGTGTTGCCGCTTCTAAGAAGCGACCATAAAAATAGAAACCAGTTAGGACAAAGAGATAATAGTACAGGGGTTAAGGTGCTTGCCTTGCATGCGGCCAACCCCATGCTGATCCCTAACACCACATATGGTCCCCTGAGCAAGACTGTGAGTGATCTCTGAGCACAGAGCCAGGAGTAAGCCCTGAGCACTGCTGGGTGTGGCCCAAAAAGCAATAAAATGAAACAAAAAGGGAATATTCCTTTCTCCTTCCTTTTTTCACTTTTCATTTGTTTAAACAAGGTTATGACGATGATACTGGAATGGGTCGATTCTCAGAGAGAGAAAAGCATCAGGATGGACGATGTGCAGATGATGACTGGGAAGTTGGCCACATATCCCTGCACTGGCCTACCTATGAAAGAATGAGAGATTTCTCTTTGAAACCAGCTATTTGATTTTTTATAACTTGCAGTTAAACCTTATTCTAATTAATACTGATACGAATTTTATCCTGAACAGATTATTTTTTTTCTAAATGAATTTTTTAAATGACTTATGCCTAGGGGAGATTGCTCAAAGGACGAGAGCCCATGCTTCATATCCAGGAGCCATGGGATTAATCTCCAGCACTGCATGGTGTTCTGAGCCCCACCAGGAATGGCCCCACACCACCACTGGTTGTGGATTTCCCCAAAAAGTATAATGCTGGAGAAATTTCTCTCATCAAAGTTTCAAAAAAGGCCGTTGAAGATCTTGACACAGCTAAAGGCACTGCAGATACAGAATAGCAGGGAAGGGGCTTGCTCTGCAGTCGAGCCAGGATCGATCCCCAGGACTCCATATGGTCCCCCAAACACAACCAGGAGAGACCCCTGAGTGGAGAGCCAGGAGTAAGACCTGAGCACAGCTGACTGTAGCCAAAACCAAACCAAGCAAACAAACAAACGAAACCCTCCCCCCAAAAAACAGCTGAAGAGTAATTAAAAAGGAGAAAACGAAGGCCAGAGCAATAGTAAAGCAGATAGGACACACGCCTTCCACACGTTTGACCCAGATTGAATCCAGATATGGTCCCCTGAGATTGCCGGGCATGATTCCTGAGTACAGAGGCAGGAGTAACCCTGAGCACGCCAGGATACGGCCAAACAACCACGAAAAGAATAGGAGAATTACCGAAATTCTGACCTACCTATAGCAAAGTACACTTGTGCGTCTAAAAGCCAAAAGCATACTCACCTGGGACGTTCTGGTATATTCTTCATACAGCCTGTCGTATTCTTTGCTCTTTTCTTGGTACTGAGAGTGGTACTCTTGGAGTTTTTTCCCCACGGCATCAATGTTATCTTCTTTTACCAACTGATCCTATACACGGGAACAAAAGAAAAGATATCTATTGGTTGTGAACATACATTTGTCGTAAATGTAACATATACATTAGACAGATATGTACATACATATGTATATGTATATCAGGCAAGAAAAAGCACTAAAATATTGTAACTAAGATCGACCTTTAGGACATATGAAAATAGTTCAACTCTAAAAGTTAAGCGGAGGCCTGAATGATAGGACAGCAGGTAGGGCGCTTATCTTGCACGTAACTGGCTCAGGTTCAATCCCCAGCACCCCTTATGATCACCAGGAATGATCGCTGAGTGCAGAATCAGCAGTAAGCCCTGAATACCACTGGGTATGACCCCAAACCAAAAAAATAGTAATAATAATAGAAAAAAGTAAATATTAAACAGTGAGGGCTAAGATGCAGCTCCGTGGCAGAGTGCATAACTAATATGTGGAAAGACCTGGGGTAGAGTCCCAGCAACACTATTAAAAATAATTAAGAAATGAAGTAAAGAGGATGGAGAAACAGTACAGCAGGTAGGGCCTTTGCCTTGCACTCAGCCGGCTGGGGTTTGATCCCATGAGCACAGGGTCCCCTGAGCACATCGGGAGTAATTTCTAAGTGCAGAGCCAGGAGTAGCCCCTACGCATCGTTGGATGTGGCCCCAAAAACAAACCAAAAACACCCCAAAACAAGAAATCAAGCAGAGGGCAAGGGAAATAGTCCAGGGCTTAAGACTCTCGCTCTGCACCCTGCCAAGCCCAGCCCATCATCCCTGGCACCACACGTGGCTCCTCGCACCGCCCCTCCTCCCACCACCAAGCACTGCCAGGAGTGATTCCGGAGCACAGTTGGTGGAGGACTAACCATTCCCCCAAAAAACAAAGTGAAGCCTAAGTGAGAAACAAAGCATTTTTACATAATGCATATGGAAAAGGCTTTGGACTTCCCCCCTGCTGAGAGTGACACCCCATCAACCCCTTCCGGTATCATACCTGTTGGTATCTGGACACGGGGTACATGAGCTTCACATCAAGTTTGGGATTGTACTGAGCAAGAGATTCATGATGGTAGTGGTTAATGAGCTCCACCACAGAATTAAATGTCAGAGGATCAGAAAAGCCATATTTACCATCTCGATGATATATCTTTATTAACTTATTATTGCCTCCCTTCCTGCAAACAAGAAGACAAACGTTGTGAATATTTTCCCCAAAATACTGGTGAAATATTTGCATCTGGAGACACGAAAGTATCATAGAATTCACAAGTTTTACCAATAAGAGTGGTGGGATAAAATTGCATATGTAATTAGGTCAAAGAACCACAGAGAGGGTACAGCGATAAATCCGTATTGACATGTAGTTAGCCTAACTTCTTCAATCTCCATATGGTCCCCTGGGCTCTGCTAGGTATGACCTCTGAGCACAGAAAAGTGTCGTCCAAACTCTCCCACCAAGATTTATTTTGCATATAAATAAAGACAATATACTTTTTTTTTCAGGGCTGGAGCAATAGCACAGCAGTAGGGCATTTGCCTTGCATTTGGCCAACCCGACCACCCAGATTCAATTCCTCCGCCCGAACAAGCTACTGAGAGTATCTCGCCCGAAGGGCAGAGCCTGGCAAGCTCCCCGTGATGTTTTCGATATGCCAAACACAGTAACAATAAGTCTCACAATGGAGACGTTACTGGGCCCACTCGAGCAAATTGATGAACAACAGGAGGACGGTGACAGAGACAGTGATACTTTTTTATGTGTGTGTGTGTGGGGGGAGAAACCCAGCAATGCTCAGAGGTTAATCCTGGCTCCGCACTCAAGAATTATTCCTGGTGATGCTTGAGGGAACATACGGGAGGGAACCCAGTCTGCGCATACAAGGCAAGTGGCCTACCAACTTGACTATCACTCTGGCCCAAAACCAATATATTTTATGCAGCTCTCAGTATCAAACTTAGCAAAAATGCATTGTAGCACTGTAGCACTGTCCTCCCATTGTTCATCAATTTGCTTGAGCGGGCACCAGTAACGTCTCCATTGTGAGATTTGTTGTTACTGTTTTCGGCATATCGAATATGCCACGGAGAGCTTGCCAGGCTCTGCCGTGCGGGTGGGATACTCTGGGTAGCTTGCCAGGATTTTTTCTGAATTTTCTCGTTTAACTTTTATCAATATTTTTTCGAGGCGCATAAACCATCTCTTTAAGACCTAAATAAATGAACACATGTGGCTATGTGTCTTTGGAAGGAAGGAAAAGTCATCTCTCTAAAAAAAACAAAGATGACATTTGTCACATAATCACCAATACCCTCAAGGTTTTATTGTTCATGCACAAACATAATTTAGTTCCTTGAATGATTTATAACTGAGTAACTAATCTAGTACCTCATAATACAGTGTCTTTTATATTTGCTTATAATTCCAGAGAATATCTTTATTTAGGCCATCACAGTATATAAATGATTTAACTGTCATTCAACTGTTCCACAAAGTATAGTTTTTGAAAAGCTATTTATATGAGATAAGTAAAATTTGATGCTTGAATAGTTTAGAACACTTTAAATTACTATGTCATATCCAATGGTTTCTTAAAAAATAATTTATGGGACCAGAATAACCCCTCAGTATTGCCAGGTGTGGCCCCCAAACCAAAAAAAAAAAAAATAGAATTTATAGTCAAAGCTTAAAGAAGCTTGAAATTCAATGTCTTCCAAATCCCATAAGGTATAATCTAAAACCTCAGAAGACTGATTCATTATACCATAGCAAGATACTCGATTTTTCTTTGCCCCCATTTTGTATACAATCTTATTTTAAAAAATTAAATTACATTAAAGCACCATGGTTTACAATGTTATTTATAATTAAGTTTTAGACATACAATATCCCAGCACAGACCCCACCACAGTGTCCACTTCCTTGTTCCCAGGTTCCTCCCCACCAACCCGCACCCCCAGACTGCATCCTGACAGGCACCTTTTAAAGTCAGCTTATTAAAGTTTGGGTCTAATGATTTCAGTGGTCTTGACTCTGTGACTTGGATATTTATCTACATCTTTCCTTTTTCCCGAGGATGTATCTGATTCCCCTTGACCCGTTGCTTCCCATATATTTCACCCTCCTCTCCCGACCACATTTCTTTCCTTCTCAGACCTATACTCTGAGGTCAAGGTTGATCCAAGCATTCCTCCCGTCCCCCTTAAGCCAATGTACTCCCTTGTCCAGTTACTCTATATACTATATATATATGTGTGTGTGTGTGTGTGTGTGTGTGTGTGTGTGTGTATACATATATGTGAATTCATCCTATGTTTGTCCTTCTTCTGGCTTACTTCACTTAATCTATCTTCTAGTTCCACCCATGTTGCAGTCAATTGCATTATTTCATATTTCTTACAGCTGCTTAGTATTCCGTTGTGTATATATATCACATCTTCACGATCCACTTATCTATCATCGGACACCATGATTCCACATCTTGGCTATACTTGGTGCTGTAATAACCAATGGTATACAGGCATCCTTTTGAAAAAATTTTTTCTGTCCGAGGGGTAGATACCCAGAAGTGGAACCGCTTACTGGGTCATCTGGCAGCTCAATTCTAAGTTTACTAAGAACTCTCCATTCTCCACACTGTTTTCCACGGGTTTGAACCAGACAACGCTCCCACCAGCAGTGGCTAAGAGCTCCTTTCTTACCACATCTCTACCAACACAGTCTGATCCTAGTATTTTTGATACATGCCACTCTCAATGAGATGGTATTTCATTGTTATTTTGATTTGGATTTCCCTAAAAATATCACGCTGGAGCGATAGCACAGCGGTAGGGCATCTGCCTTGCGCGCAGCCAGCCTGGCCAAGCCAGGTTCGATTCCTCTGCCCTTCTCAGAGAGCCTGGCAAGCTACTGAGAGTATTCAATATGCCAAACACAGTAACAAGAAGTCTCACAATGGAGACGTTACTGGGCCCGCTCGAGCAAATCGATGAACAACGGGAGGACAGCTCCTTACAGCTAAAAATAAGTGATGATGAGCATTTTTAAAACATGTCTGTTGGCCATCCACTGGTCTTTCTCAGAGAAGTCCCTGTTCATTTCCTCTCCCCTGTTACTGTCACTGTCCTCCTGTTGTTCATCGATTTGCTCGAGAGGGCCCAGTAACATCTCCATTGTGAGGCTTGTTGTTACTGTGTTTGGTCTATAGAATACGTCACAGGTAGCTTGTCAGACTTTGCCATGCGGGCAAGATACTCTCAGTAGCTTGCAGGCTCTCTGAGAGGGCGAAGGAATTGAACCTGGGTCGGTCAGGTAGGCCACATGCAAAGCAAACGCCCTACCGCTGTACTATTACTCCAGCCCTTCCTCTTCCCATTTTTCTTTTTATTTCTTCTGCGATGCACAGGGGTTACTCCTGGCTCTGTACTCAGGAATTACTCCTGGCAGTGCTCGGGGGACCATATGGCATGTTGGGGATCGAATCTGGGTCAGCCGTGTGCAAGGCAAACGCCCTCCCCGCTGGACGGTCACTCCAGCCCTTCTCCCCATTTTTTTAGTGAGATTTCTGGATTTTGTTGTTGTTGTTGATCTTTTTCTTTTCTTTCCAAAATTTTATTTTCTATTAAAGCACTGTGAATTACAAAGTTATTCATGGGTTTTTAACATCCAATGTTTCGTCACTAATCCCATCAGCAGTGTCAACTTCCTTCCAGAATCTGTTCCCCGATTCCCTCTCCTAAGACCCCACCCCCACCCCAGACCCAGCTTGCCATCTTGACAGGCACCATTTAAATCTGGTTATTAATATTTGGGTCTCGTGATTTCAGTGTTCTTGACTCGATGGTTTGAATATTCAGCTTTTCCATTCCTTAACACCACCCATGTAACTGAATCTCCTTGACCCTAACCCTGTTGCTTCTCGCCTGTCCCTAGTGCGAAAGGTGATCAAGGCATCCCCCCCTTTACACCACTGTATTTCCTTCTCCAGTTCCTCTAAATATGACATATAAGTGATATCGTCCCGTGCTTGTCCTCCTTCTTCTGGCTTACTTCAGTTAACACGATATCTTTAAGTTCCATCTATGCTGCAGCAAATTGCATAATTTCATAATTCTTTACAGACTTTCTATTGTTGATCTTTGGATATCAACCCTTTATCTGGTGTGTTGAATGCAAGTATTTTCTTCCACTCCGTTGGCTGGTTTTCACTTTAGCCCAGATTTCTTTTGACATGCAGAACCTCTTTAATTTGATGTAGTCCCATTTGTTTTTGTGTTTAAATTCTGTAGCCTTTGCCAATCGTATATCACTGAAAACACCTTTGAAGTCTAGATCTTAGAGTATTCTGTCTATATTTTCCTCAATGAACTTTACAGATTCTGGTGTGATCTCAAGGTCTTTTTGTTTCTTTGATTTTGGTGTTTTGTTGTGTTTTGTTTTGTTTTTACACACGTGGCAATGCTCAGGGGTCACTCCTGGCTCTGCACTCTGTGATTACTCTTGGTGGTATGGTGGGGGACCATATGAGACATGTCAGGGATCAAACTCAGGTCAGTCACATGCAAAGCAAATGCCCTACCCACTGTACTATCTCTCCAGTCCCTGACCCCAAGGTCTTTTGCTCCACTTTGAGTCGACTTTTATCTACGGTGTGAGATACAGATACAACTTTTATTTTTATTTTTTTAGACGTGTTAACCACTTTTCTCAGCACTACTAGTTGAAGAAGCTGTCTTTATTCCATTTTAGGGCTGGAGCGATAGCACAGTGGGTAAGGCATTTGCCCTGCACACGGCCGACCTGGGTTCAATTCCTCTGTCCCTCTCAAAGAGCTCAGCAAGATACCAAGAGTATCCCACCCACATGGCAGAGCCTGGCAAGCTCCCCGTGGCATATTCGATATGCCAAACACAGTAAAAACAAGTCTCACTTCATGTTCCTGGAGCAAGCAGATACAGGGACGAATGGAGACATTACTGGTGCCCACACAAGCAAATCGATGAACAATGAGACGATGGCGCTACAGTGCTACATGATCTCAGCTACTCTGTCAAAAACTAGCTGACCATATATATGGAGATTTGTCCTTGGATAATCCATTATGGCCCATTAGTCAGTGAGTCTGTCCTTATTCCAGTACGACACTATTTTGATATCGGGTCTCAACTTTTCTTTTAGTAGCAGAAGTCAGTGGAGGGAAATAAATCCTCCCTCCCTCGCGTCAGTCTCGGTCTCCCTCCTTCTCTCCTTGGTGCCTGCCCAGGGCCTCAAATATGTGAAGCAAGTGCTCCAGTGCTGAATTACAGGCCTGGTCAAAAATGCCTCTATACATCTCTTTATGCCGTGCAATTATATCTGATAAATGAAGCACGTGCATCATTGGAAATGGCTCCGGGTCCCCGGTCAGTGCCTGAAAGGGCTCACAAACTCCAAAACACAGTAACACATGCTGCAGAGAAAATGAAGATTTAACAGATGCAGCAAACTTAATGTTTACCTTTTTTTTTGGGGGGGGGGGGTCACAACCAGTGACGTTCAGGAGTTACTCCTGGCTCTGCACTCAGGAGTTACTTCTGGTGATGTTCGGAGGACCATATGGGATGCCGAGTACCAAACCTGGTTTGCCGCCTGCAAAGCAAGCACCCTAACCCACTCTACTATTGCTCCAAACTGTAGGTTAACTAGTTTTGAGAAGTTGTCACACCACCCCAATCTGCAGATAATACAGAATACATCAGTGGACAGCCGTCAACCCTGAGACCCTCTGTCAGCAAAAAATTACTAGACTCAAACACTGGCTAAATTTTTTATGGCAAATTATTTTTAATTATGCAATTTTTCCTTTGTTCAGGGATTTAGTTTGGGGGCCACACCCAGGGGTGCTCTGGGCTTATTCCTCACTCTGTGCTCAATGATATCTCTTTGCGGGGCTGGGGAGACCATACAGTGTTCCAGAGATCAAACACTGCTGGCCACAAGCAAAACAAGCACCCTGCCTGCTGTGCCATCTCTCCAGCCACGATAATACTTTTTTCTTGACATGTTTACACATGATTCTATGCACATAGACTAAACTATAGTATAGTGTAAATATGCCTTTTATATGCCCTGGGAGAATTCCTGTGACTCATTTTATTGTAATAGTCACATTATGATGGCAATCTGCAACCTGACTCATGTGCACACCACTGAACTCACTGACATCACTGAGGTGTGCCTGTAACCTCAACACAGGAATAGAGCAGTGATTAAACACAGTCTCCAGTTTCAGAGTTTTAAATTCTACTGGGGTGAGATAAATACAGTGAGTGGAAATAACTACACAGTGAGCAGCCAATATGGAATATTAAATTGAGGTAATATGTAACTTGAATGTCTACTTTTGAATTGAGCAGTTAGGGCAACACCAAGAGATAGCATTTATGCAGATATCTGGATAATAAAAAAGAGCCAATTGTGTCAAGATTAGAAAGAAGAACAACTATTGAACAACAAGGTAGAAATAAGTTTCACTTGTCTGATGTACAGGAAGGTTAGTGGGACTGAAAGTAATAAGCAGAGAGACTGGGAAGGCATGAGATATAAGAAATAGGCTTAGATAAAAAAAAAGAAAAAGAAATAAATTTTATTTCTAAATAAAAATACCAAATACATCAGTGGCCCCTAAAAAAAAAAAAAAAAAAGAAGTAGGCTTAGGGGCCAGAATACTACTACAGTGGATAGAGCACTTGTCTTGCACCTGAAGATCCAATTTCAGCCCCTGCCACCCCATATGGTTCCCCAAGTCCCACCAGAGTGGTCCCTGAGCACAGAGCCAGGAGTACACTCTAAGCAATGCTGAGTTAGAAACCAAAAAATCTGCTTTAGTCATGTTAAAATTAACACGCCTACCTCCCACCCCCCCAACCGTCCCTCCCCCCAGCCCCCCGCCCACCTCCACTAGTTATCTCAATAGGAAAGTCAAGCAGGATATCTGGACAATATCCCATCTGAAGTTTTGAAGGTCAGCGCTGGAGATGAAGTTTCTGAATCCTCACCCTCTAGATGTATATTAAAATCTTTCATCGGGGGCCAGTAGTACAGTGGGTAGGGCATCCTTGCGTGCGGTCAACCTGGGTTCAATCTCTGGCATCCCATATGGTTCCCCCAAGCACCGCCAGGAGTGATTACTAAGTGCAGAGCCAGGAGTAACCCCTGAGCATAGATGGGTGTGGTCCAAAAAATAAATAAATAAAATCTTTACACAGGGGGTGGTACGATAGTGCAGTAGGTAGGGTGTTAGCCTTGCATATGGCTAACCTAGTTTTGATCCCGGCCCATCAGGGCCCCGAAGCCTATCTGGAATGATCCCTGAGTGCAGAACCAGGAATGAGCCCTGAGCATAGCCAGTGTGGCCCAAAAATAAACAAAAAACAAAAATCTTCAGACGTAACAAGCTCAGCTTGGAAGAATGAGTACAGGAGGAGAAGGGGGCTGGAGTCTGAGCCTGGAGCACTTAACATGCAAATACCCAGCACAGAAGTATACTTAATTAAGTTAGGATTACAATCAAGACAATAATCTTTTTCTAGAAATATGTGTCCATAATAATGTTCCTTAAAGGTGAGGTTACGATAACGAAAGAAAAATGGCCAATGGTTTACCCATTCCTGCTGAGTGGTCAAACAGAAGCCTAGCTAGTTACCCACATTCAAAGTAAGTTTCTTAACTATATCTAGTCTCAAACGCATAAAATGGAAAATCAGTATCTAGAACTATTCATAATAAGAAGGTTACCATGAGGGGCTGGTGTGATAGCACTGTGGGTAGGGCATTTGCCTTGCACGTGGCCAACCTGGGATCGATTCCCAGCATCCCATATGATCCCCTGAGTACCGCCAGGAATAATTCCTGAGTGCAGAGCCAGGAGTAAGCCCTGTGCATCGCCAGGTATGACCCAAAAAGGAAAAAAAAAAAAGAAGAAGATTGCCATGAAATTCAAATATAAAATAAAGTACATAAAGTTTAGTATAAAGTATTGCTGTTTCTATTATTTATTTAAGCAGTCTCTTTAAAATAAACTTTTTTTGCTTATTAATATATAAGCATGAAAATGAAACTGACGAAAGGGGAGGCCAGGGGAGAAGGGGTTTCTTTTGGACATACCCAGCAGTGCTCAGGAATCATTCCTGGCAATACTCAGGGGACCATCTAGAATGCCAGGGGTCAATCCTGGTCATTCACGTGCAAGGCAGGCACCTTAAACCCCTCTGGCTGTAGCACTGAAAAGGCTTTACTATAATGAGGCTATGTCAATAACCAAATGTGTAACTATCTTACACAATTTTCCTAATCTTTTAAAATTTCTATCCCATCTTTGTAAACATACAAGGATATACAAGGATATACACATCAACTGTAAGATTCTAATATGCCCATAAGAACAGCAAGGAAAACAAACTAATTACGTCATCTTCTACTTACTATCAGACTAAATTATATTTTGTTACTGTCTGAAGTAAATAATAGGTTTATCTGTGGGGTAGGCTCCCAAGATATCACTAATAAATTTAGAACATGCCCTTAATTTTACTAACCTCGTATGGTTATTTTTTGCCATATTTCTGACTTTTCCACATTTGGAAATTTTAACCTTTTCATTTAATCGGTACATAAAAATAAAAGTTGTCATTTTTATATGACATATTAATGCATAAAATATATAGAAGCGCACAGACTGTGTACAAAAAATACAGAAAAAGGACAGCCAAATAATTAAGAAATATATATCTAAATTTAATTAAATATATGCATATTTAAATAAAATACAGAAATATTTATGTCTCCAGAAATAAATGCAGAAAACTAGCCAAAATGCTTAAAAATGACTCACCGCAAAGTCAAAGTATAATCTCCTTGCATTTTTGTGGAGGCATCTCTCACCAAGAAGGTACCATCTGGCATATCCCGTAATTTGTCATTTACTTCCTCCCTGAAGAACAAGATTGTAGGAAAAATGAAAAATTAGAATCATCTATTGTTCTCTCCACATATTATTATTAAGGCTACTTAGGAGGCGATAACTAAGATCATTGTAACTATATTGCTGTAAATACCTTAGAAATAAATTATAACTGGGGGGCGTTCAGGTCTCCTCTAGAGAAGTTTACTGTTCCGATTTTTGGTGTCCTTCCACCCAAGCAACAGCGAGTTGCTTCTTAAACTTGTCTAGAATTCAACTGTCTACAGGGGACAGTGTTTCTATTAAGCCTTTAGGGCTTCCCTAGGCAGGTCTGAACTTGTAAATTTTCAGGGGAAAACAGCCATGTTTAGAAAGAAGATTACATTTAAGCAACAGGGACAGCTATGTCCGATCAAAGGGGGCATAATTCATTAAGTTCACAACTTTTCAATTTGATTCTCCAATTTGAATTCACATAAATAAGAAACTCAGTCGGAGAGTTAGTTTAGGACTATCAGGAGCAAAATGAAAACACTTGGAGTGGCAGGCTGTAAGATTCTTGAATTACTGAACCACATAACCTTAAAAACTATATTTAAGTGGTATCTAACAGACACTTTCTCTTTCTTTGTGGGAGGGTATCGGGGTGGCCCGCACCTGGTGGGGCTCAGGATTTACTCCTGCCTCTCGGCTTAGGTATCAGTACTGGGAGGGATAATGTACAGTGCTAGGGATCAAGCCAGGGTCAGTCACATGCAGGGCAAACGCCTTAACCTTTGTACTCTCTCTCTGGCCCACATATTCTTGTAAAGGCAATCTCTTTTCTTTCCCTGGTTTTTGGGTCACTCTCAGCAATGCTGAGGACCATTCCCCATTCCGTGCTAGGGGGACGAGGCAGTGCCCATACTGAACCCAGGGCTCCAGCCCGATAAGCTAGCCCCCGGGCCTCAATCTAAGGGTAATCTCTATTTATTGTGTGGGGGCCACACCCAGCATGCTCCGGGGCTATTCCTGGCTCTGTGCACAGATGTTACTCCCGGTAGTATCTAAGGGAACCATTACTGGTGTAAACTGAGGATCTGAACCAGAATTAGATGCAATAGAGAGAGAGGGAGGCAAGCACCTTACTTACCCCATGCACTATCTCCTGGCCCCTGTAAATGAAATCTTTTATTTTCCGTTTTGTTTTTTGGGGGGCACACACCCAGCAATGCTCAGGGGTTACTACTGGTTCTCTGTTCAGAAATCACTCCTCTGTGATGCTTGGGGGGCCATAGGGAATGCCAGGGCAAACCCCCTACTCATTGTATTATCACTGCAGCCCCTTAAGCGTAATCCTTAAATTAAAAGTTGGCAAGGTATTAAGTGTTTAATTTTAACCAATTCTCAAAATAGTATTTTACACATGTCCAACTGCAGTCGCAATCTAGTTACCTTGAAATATCCCCCCAGTACCATTCTGCATCCTGAAGGGAGAGAGCACTTTCCTTCACTCCATTTGTAACAGCTGAAGTCATTGGCTTAGGTGGCTTTGGTGGAAGTGCTAGAAGAGAAACAAAAATTGTTTTGTAGATAGAAATGAACATTTATTTTATAAGTTCCTTAGGGTCAGCTCATTAACCAATGTACACTAGGATTCAAGTAATTATAAATAAAATTGTTACTGCATGCTAAATATTGAACATCAGACAAAGGAAGCAGTCCTTTAAAAGAACCAGTGGGTAGGGCACTTCAAAATTTAAATAATTTTAAGTGAAAATTTCGAATAAAAAACCAACAAAAAGTATGGTGGGGCAGAGTGATAATACAGCAGCTAGAGCACTTGCCTTGCATGTGGCTGAGCTGGGTTCGATCTCCAGCATCCCACAAGTGCGTGGTTCCCCCAAGCACTGCCAGGATTAATTTCTAAATGCAGAGCCAGGTTCCCCCAAGCACTGCCAGGATTAATTTCTAAATGCAGTACTTAAACCGCTAAGCACTGCCAGGTCTGACCCAAAACCAGACAAAGAATCAAGTTATCTGAGTTTTTATCCTTCTTTAAAAGTACTGATTTTTTTAACCATTTTTATTGAGGGCTGGAGCGATAGCACAGCGGTAGGGCGTTTGCCTTGCACGCAGCCCACATGGCCGACCCGAGTTCGATTCCTCCGCCCCTCTCGGAGAGCCCGGCAAGCTACCGAGAGGATCTCGCCCGCCCGGCAGAGCCTGGCAAGCTCCCCGTGACGTATTCGAGATGCCAGACACAGTAACAACAAAGTCTCCAATGGAGACGCTACTGGGCCCGCTCGAGCAAATCGATGATCAACGGGAGGGCCTTTACCTTACTGTACTTTACTTTTATTGAGGTACCAGGATCTACATTACTTTGAATCATACTTTTCATGGATACATCATTCCAATACCAGACCCATCAACAAAAAGTCCACCAGTGACCCAGGAATCACCCCCCCCCCAACTCCCTCTCTCCATGTAAGCTCAGTTTTGCAGGCAAAATCTTCAGTTCCAATGACTTTGACCATTTTCTTTCTCGTTCCCCCGCCCCCATGCAGAAGAGACCTTTCTTTTCCTCCTTTCTTTCTTTCTTTCTTTCTTTCTTTCTTTCTTTCTTTCTTTCTTTCTTTCTGGGGGGGTGCAGAGTGTACACCTACATACATGTATAGAGCGAACTAAAAAAGTACTGATTTTTCATTTTGAAAATATGTCTGAAAGAACCATCATCACCTCTAAAAAGACACCATGAACTTCCATCACACTTAGTTTTAGTTTTCGTTCCAAAGCTATTAAGTGGGACTAGCCATTGGGAGTTTGATGGCCAAGAGGCCGAGAATGGGCGTGAGAGGGCAGCGTTCACTGGAGGCAGCTTGGGCACAGGCCTCAGGCTCTAGAGTAGACCCCAGGGGGGCAGCCCAGCGTGGGCTGCTGAATCTGAATGAAGCGGAATCAAGGGACCCATGCCCTCTGACACTAACGCAGTGCTGGGGTTCAAGCTATTGAGGACACAGTCCTCCAGGTGGCCTCCAAATGCAGCGCACAACACAAAATGAAGCTTGCACACAGCCGATCCGGGTTCGATCCTCAGAATCCCATATGGTCCTCCAAGAGTGACATGGCACAGCCAAGAGTGATCCCTGAGCACAGAGTCAAGAGTAAGCCCTGAGCACTGAGGGCTCAAAAAGGAAGGAAGGAAGGAAGGAAGGAAGGAAGGAAGGAAGGAAGGAAGGAAGGAAGGAAGGAACTCCGGTGACTTGGACTGAAATCACAATACTGTGAACTAATGGACATAGAGAAATATCTGCACATTTAAAGCCAGTATCTGTTTTCTATCTTGGTCCCCTGAGAGATCCTGGGACTTGTAACACTCCAACATACATTTCTAGCATCCAGTCCTTAATTTCTAATCCTACTTAAGTAAAGAAAGCCAGGGTTTCAGACTCTGAAGAAATGGCTGGTTCCAGGCGGAAGTGAAGCAGAACCAGGACCAAATGAATCTGGCACATCGTGTTGTACCAAAGAGTAAGCCAAGTGCTCAAAGAATAAGGACCCATGACAAAAAACAAAGAGGCCAGCTTGAAGAAAGCCCATCATGTCTGGAACAACGGGAGTCAAGCAAATTTCAGATAACTAGAGTATAAATACAAATCAATACAAAGGTAAAGGTAAAGGTAAAGGCCCTCCCGTTGATCGTCGATTTGCTCGAGCGGGCCCAGTAACGTCTCCATTGGAGACTTTGTTGTTACTGTGTCTGGCATATCGAATACTCTCGGTAGCTTGCCGGGCTCTCCGAGAGGGGCGGAGGAATCGAACTCGGGTCGGCCATGTTGGCTGCGTGCAAGGCGAACGCCCTACCGCTGTGCTATCGCTCCATTAAAATATCCATTAAACAAAATAGGCATTTATACATGAAAAGCAAAAAGTAAAGATGAGGAGTACCAAAATATTTTTGATTAAAGACTAACATATGGTCTGGAAAGACAGCACAGCAGAACGGCCCTTGTCTTGCACGTGCTGACCTGGGTTCGAACCACAGCATCTCGTATGGCCTCCCAAGTCCACCTGGAGTCATCTCTGAGTACACAGCCAGGAGTAAGCCCTGAGCACCACTGGTTCTGGCCAAAAACCAAAACAAAAGACTAACAGACTAGTCCGGCAAACATGCCACCATTATCAAGTAATCAAAATTCACAGACTAACAATGACAGAAGCACTGAGGAAGATATAGCAGCACTTCTGTGATATTCCTAACAAATCATATGTATAAACTACATCTAAGCGATAACCTCGGGCAAACTGAGATTGAGACAATTTACCAAAAAAAGGTAGGAAGACAGACAGACAGGCAGACAGAGAGATAGCCTGTAGCCTATAATCATCAAAAAAAAAAAAAAAATCAAGTGAAAGTCAAGAAAAACTGAGAAACCAGTACAGGTTGGAGAAGATTAGGGGACCATGACAATTAAACACAATGTGTGATTCTCAGCCAGACTATTAGATGAGATCAAAGAATAATATGGTAAGAGGATAGTAATGCAACAATGGGAGTTTTCTGACTTTGATAACCATACTGTGTTCTGTCCTGTTTGGGTTTTTTATTTGGTGGGGAGGAGGGTTGTTCTTTTGTTTTGATTTTGTTTTTTTTTTTAGGGGGGGGCGAGAGACACCCGGCCAGTACTCAAAGTTTACTCCCGATTCTGGAGCATACGTGGTGCCAATGATCAAACCCAGGTCAGTCGCATACCCACTGTACTATCTCTCCGGCCCTTATCATTGGGTTCTATAAAATATTCCTGTTTTTGAAACAGTTACAGGGCTTTTCATGTTTGCAACTTACTTTCTCAATGGCTCAAGAAAATAAAAATCTGGGACCAAACAGTACATGGCCAACCTAGGTGTGATCCCTGAAATGCACTATGGTCCCCAAGCCAAGCCAGGATTGATCCCAGAGTGCAGAGCCAGAAGTAAGTCCTGAGCATCTCTGAGTGTGACAAGAAGGGGGGAAGAGAGGGTAGGGAGGGAAGGGAGGGAGGGAAGAAGGGGGGAGGGGAGGGAGGGAAAGAAGGAAGGAAAGGAGGGAAAGAAAAGTAGGAAGGAAGGAAGGAAGGAAGGAAGGAAGGAAGGAAGGAAGGAAGGAAGGAAGGAAACTTGCATCACACCTTTTCTACAAGTTTGAGATTGCTTCAAAAACTTCTGTATGTGTGCTAAGAACGAACTCAGGGTTTCACACATGCAAGACAAGTACTCTATTTCTGAGATGTATCACCCACCTCTCAAAAACAACTGGAGGGAAGGGGGTTGGACCACATCTGACTGTGCTCAGGGCTCATTTCAGGCTCTGAGATGTGGGATCACTCCTAGCAGTGCTAAGAGGACCATATGCAGTGCCTGGGATGAGGTAAGGGTTGGTTGCATGCAAGGCAAACACTTTCCTGTACTCTCTCTCCAGCCCCCAAAATAAAATTTTAATTAACAAAAAATTAGAAACAACCTTGAGGGAAAAGGGAAACAATGTGAGTGTTCTTCACAACAAATGTTCTTCAAAACAAATTAATTATAATCAAATTATTCTCACAAGGATGTCGAGACAATTCCATGGTGTAGAATTAGTCTTGATGATGCTGGAACAACTGGACACACACAAACGAAAGAATGGCAACTGGACCCCTAGCTCATACCGATGTAAAAATTGGTTCAAAATGAATTTAACTGACTGTTGGACTTAACATCATTAAACTTTCAAAAGACGGACAGCTGGGGTCAGAAAGGTAGTACAGCAGGTAAGTTACTTGCCTTGCATGCAGATGACCCGGGTTCAAGCCCCAGCACCACATATAATACCCCAAGCCATACCAGACATGATCCCGTAACAGGGTCAGGAATAAGCCCTGAGCATTGCCAGGCACGCCCCGAAAATCACTTCATCACTTACTCTGCCTTAGTATTTTGGCTTTCTTTGCGGACGGCCTCCTGCCCCTGGATATGGAAGCCAGTGAGCTGCTTTCCCGAAAATAATATAAATTTTTTTAAAGAAGAAAAAGAGGAGGCAATTAGAATAATACAGCATTTCCCTTGCACGTGGTCGAACTGGGTTCTATCCCCGGTAACCCAAAAGATCCCCCGAGCACTGCCAGGAGTAATTCCTGAGTGCAGAGCCAGGAGTAACCCCTCGGCATCGTCTGGTGTGGAGGAGAGAAAAAGAAGAAGGAAAGGGGAGGAAGAGGAAGGAGGGAGGTGGCAAAGGGAGGTGGAAGAGAAGAGGAGGGAGCGGAGGAGGCGGAGGTGGAGGCCGGAGCGGTTTACAATGCGTCAGGCACTTGTCTCATACGTGGTCAACCCGAGTTGAATCCTGGGCATCCTCTGTGGTCCCCCAAGAACTCTTGAGCACAAAGCCAGGAACACCCAGCCCCCGAGCACAACAATGTTGTCCAGAAACCAACAAACAAAAAAAGTGCAAACACAGTATCTGGCCATGTATTATCACAACAATAAAGAAAGGAAGATTAAAAACTAAATTTTTTTAAACTTTTTTTGGAGGGGGTTGGGGGGATT